TGGGTAATTTCACTTAAAAAAATCCTCCCTATGGGGCTTTAAAAAAAAAATCCCCCATCGGCCAAGGCCCCATGGGGCGAATGGGGAGGAAAACCCCGTGGGGCCCCCACCCCATGGAGCAGCCTACTTAATATTAAGAACCGAAAGACGAAGACTATAAGGCCTTTAATAAAGTGATTTAGTAGCTAATCGATCACTCAACTCGAAGGATCTATTACGTATTTTTAGACTTAAAGACGGCGAAGCTTTTTGTATTCGTAGACGGAGCGTTTGCTAACAACGTTGACTTTAGCTTTCAAATCGGTTTCGTAGTTATCTTTAGCAATAAGGCTTACGTAAGTGAAAACGAGTTCACTTTAACGAATAATATCTTTTATTAAGTGTTATAGAAGTGCAAGAAAGTGATAAAAGCAGTATTAGCTTTTAAGCTATACGCTATGTTTTTAAGTATCGATATAGCTATTGCTATATCGATTACTTTTGCTTAAATCACAGCTTAGTTAAAAATACTTAATTTCTTCGTAGTTGTTTGCATTAACTTTTATTCGCTTTACGAGTGTATAATAAAGTTAAGGACTATTAAAGAGAAGCGCTTAATGATCGATATCATAGTTATTCGAGAGTCATACGAAAAGCGAGAGCTTTTTAAAGTACGCTAGATCGGAAGAAAATCTAACCTTGCTAACGCTATGACTAAAGTCGGAGCTAATACCTTTTTGCAAGAGCTAGTTTGATTAATACCTTGAAGGTGCAAGTGGACGAGTAAGTGGAAAGGCCGCTATAAGATAAAGAAGAGTGAAGTTTAATAAAGTGATTGTTTTTCTTTTGTTTTGATCACTTTTTTTCTTTTTTCGGTCGATATAATAGTTAGCAAAGCATTACTTGCTAAAGAGAGAGTTGCCGGTGTCGGTATATCTATATCGACTTTAGCTAATAGTAATAGTAGTAGTAGTAGTTAAAGAAGCTCATCCGTGAACCATAGTTCACGAGCCACTTAGCATGCTTCGCTTAGCATGTTAGCAGTCAAGGGACCTTTAACTTGACAAGTAAACTTATTAGCTAGCTAGTGCACGTGATTCCTTTTAATCGTATAAAAGGAATCAGCTCCTTTGAGCCTTAAGGAGCAGACAGAATTCAGATACCTTATCAACCGAGTGTTTTGCAATTGCAAGTACTTTGACGACCGTTACGACTTTACGAATATATTCCTAATCGCTTAGAAGCAATCCAACAAACCTCGAACTCAAAACGGTGAGAGCCGTTTGCAGAGACCATGCTTCTTCTGGAAGTTGCTAGTGAATTGCCCATCTGGCTCATTCTTTCCCTCTGAGTCGTGGTATGTCTTTCCTTGCATCTATTTTGCGGAAGGGAAGTAAAGAGAAAGTGACACCGGAAAGCGGGTCACATTCCACGTAATAAGTGTATCCATGATTTTCGCTTAAGGCAGACACATCTGACTAATCAGTCTTGTAGATTTCGGCCTTTTCATATGTCAACACTCGTCCGTCGTCTCCTTAAGACAAGCAACAGATAGCTCCCGGTTTCAGGCTGTTCACTACGAACCGCAACCAAGCAACCTCAAAAGCCTAGACAATATTCAAGGATCGATCTTTGTCTCCCTCTACGTGTGATTTTCTTGGCGCGTAGTATCGCTCGGAATACGCCTCTGCTTTTGAGGACTTGCCTATCCGTGTGGCTCGCGTGGCTGTTGTGAGGGAACTTAAATTGACTTTTATAGTAAATTTGAGAGCTTTCAAAACAGTAAGAAATATATGAATTTGAACAATCACATATATTTTCTGGACCCGAGGAATCTAGGCCACACGATCCAAGCTCCATTTGAAATCTAGACTTCGTGACACCTTAACTTCCCCAGTTCCCTTAGCCTAGTTAGCAGGCAAGACCACTGGGCAAGACAAGATGTATAGCTCGCTTTTCCTTTACTACGACTAGTTGTAAGTTGCTCTACAGTAGTAAATACATTCCTTTACTCCAACAATAACAAGGGCTCGTTTGATCTGTCATGATCCACTCAAGCTACACCTTGCGACATGCCTCCAGGCACCACCCATGCACCCATGCAGCCTCTCGGTAGCCAGCCTTGGTGATACCTCAGCAAAGCACAGCAAACGGTAGCACCTGAATATATTTCCGGCGTCCTCCCGGGAATATCAAGCAGTTGAAAAAAATCCCCGGGCAACATCGTCGTCGCACACGCCGAGACCGGGTTCCGTCTAAATTTGAGCAAAAATGACGACGACGGTGAGCGCCCTTGGGCCTTCCATCTACGAAGTCCTCGGCCATTTCAAACCAAACATCGCGTTTCTCAAAGCTTTCTTCTCGACATGGCTGAAGCTCGACCTGACGACCCTCGCTGCCGCGCTCACCATCTTCAATACCATTTCAGGCGCCGCAGGCATTGTTAAGGCCTTAGCGATGAAGACCTATTGGTACTTTACGAAGTTCTTCACCGCTTCGATCTCCATCGCTCCTAGCGATAAGCTGAACCGAGAGATCTTGAACTGGATCGGGTCACAGGTTCTCACCCGCCAGGGAACCCGAATTCTGACTGCACGAACGGAAACGATCGAGAACAACCCTTACTATTTTAGGAGGGCACCGACGGAGAGAAATGATTTGATTCAGGAGAAACGAGTACCGGTTCAGTACCTACCAACCTTCGGAACGACCTGGTTCGTATTTGAGCGCAGGATCTTCCTGGTGAAGCGTATCTCTCCCCGTAATAGTAAGTGAAAAGGCCGAACCCAATATCTCGATCATCCTGCAGTACTTGGCAACATTTCATATGACTCTGGCCTTCTTTCCGCTGTCCAAATTGTTCGATTAGTAACCAGCTCTCCGTGCCTTGAATCAGGTGCCGGATCAGTGCCTGATGAGTATGCCGCTGCTCCAAGTGGCAAAGAACCACTTGTTGTGATGGTCCTGGGAAGCGATGTGGCTCCGATCAAGCGCTTTCTCGACCACTGCCGTGAGTTTGCCGACAAGCAACGGGAGGCATACATCACCGTGCACGCTTCAAAGTCGGAATATCATGGCGAAGCTTGGGATACTACCATCCTGAGACCCATTCGGCCGATCGAGACGGTCCATTTTGACGAGACCACCAAGTCCGAACTTGTCGCAGATATTGAGAGCTACCTGGACCCCGTCACCCGCAGATTCTATAATACTAGGGGGATACCTTATAGGAGAGGTTACTTGTTCCATGGTACTCCTGGGACAGGGAAGACTTCGCTTTCCCTTGCCCTCTCCGGTAAATTCGGTCTTGATCTATAGTAAGTGGCGGGGGAAAGGGGTCAGCACCCATTTCCTTCTTATAACTGCATCAATACACCTGGACACAATTTTTTATACTCTCTACTTGGATAGGCGGTTGCTAACTCATCGTGCCCCCGCAGTCTGCTGCATATCCCCAGTATTCGTGAGGACATGGAGCTAGAAAGATTGTTCACTGCGTTGCCTCCTCGCTGCATCGTGTTACTTGAGGACATTGACGCCGTGGGAATGAGACGCCAGCCCGTCATGGGTATGAAGAAAGAGAAAGGTAAGAAAGAGGAAGATGGCGGTGAGAAAGAAGATTCGGAAGACGATTCGGAAGATGATTCGGAAGATGAGACTGAAGATGAAGACAAGGTGGCACTTCGCTGTCGCTGTACCTTGTCCGGCCTCCTGAACGTCCTGGATGGAGTAACATCTCAAGAAGGACGAATCGTAATCATGACCTCCAACCACGCGAAGAAGCTTGACAAAGCACTCGTACGACCTGGCCGCATTGACCGGATGATCCTCCTAGACAAAATCTCCCCTCGCAGCGCAGAACTGATGTTCCTCCGGATGTATACTCCGGACGCAAGTGCCGCCCCTCTCAACTCTCCGCTACTCGAAGACGGTGTCTGGAGAAATTGTCTCTGGAGTTCAAAATTCATATTCCGGACAACATGTTCACCCCTGCGCAGCTGCAGGGGTTTCTGCTGAACCATCGCAGCTCTGCCTCGGCGGCGGCGAGGTACATCAAGGACTGGGTAAGAGAAGAGAAGGACAAGACGGATGAGGCGAGGCAGAGATCCAGGCAGATTGCGCAGTGGAAGAAGAAGAATAAGAAGGAGAGAGCTTTGAAGGCGTTCACGAGCAGTGTGGGAGGACCACCTGGTGGAATGGAGGCGCGAGCAGCGGCGATCATACGAGCAAGTGAATTGGAGAGAGAGAAGCGGATTGAAGAAAAGGAGATGAATAAAGCCATCAAGAATGGCGAGCTTATTCTCGATGGGAAGGGAACCGGGCCGGTGGACAAATCGGAAGAAGCTTCCGGGCCGACGGAGCTGAGTGGTAATGAGGGCGTTGGGACTAAAGAAGATGTGAAGGTGGAAGTGCGGGAGGAGACTGAATCAACGAGTCCCAAGGCAGAGGTAAGTGGCGAGTTGGCCTGATTCTTCGAATCTCGAATCTGTCCGAGAAGTGGTATACATATACGAGGCTAGGACAAGCAGACCGTGATGCACAGCCAAATCCGACATCTCACTCGCCGGATTTGCGAAAGTGTTTCATCGATGTCCGCGGTATCCACCATCCCCCTGTGAAAGTTGGGACATCCAGAATTCCTGCGTCGATATTCTTGCCTCAATATTCTAGAAAGCACCGATACTCAACTCGACCACACATCTCAAACTCCAAGAAGCTAGCCTTTCCAAAGTACCTAAAAGTCTCGCAAGAAAACCCCCAACTACTCTCTACTTCCAGCTCTAGGCTTCATAAATCTCTGGACGAGGCCAGCAGCGTCCTCAGAGACCCTCTACCTTCAATCCGCCCGCCCCGTCCATAGGCTCGCCAAAGCTCTTACCGAGAGTAAACAACAACCAAATCCTTTCCTCATTATCTCCAATCATAAAACTTTCAACACGGACCTAGTACCTACCTACCATGACCCCTCGAAAAAAGCACTCAAGGCTGGATAACTTTAAATTCTAGAAAAAAGATTGCTATTGTAAATATATACATATAGTTATATATATATATATATACATTTTATCAAGCTCTTGGCATTCAGTAGGCCCCAAAGAAAATCGACCAATATACAATAGTACCCACCTCCGCTATTCAATCAATCGAACGAGCCCGCTACACGCGCGCCCCGCTCGAACACCTCCTCCGCGATTTAGCTACCAGTCTAGAGCGTCTTGTACTATTTGGAGAATGAACTAGCAGCAAGCATCAAGATCCAGAGCATGTCGTCTCGCTTAGAAGCCAGTTCGCTAAAGCCCCTTTCATCTCGCTTCCTGCTTGCTGCCTGGCGTACCCGCACCTTAAAGAAACCAATACTCCGTACAGAACGTCTAAGAGAATCGCAAGCTTCAACTAGCAAAGGTCAGAAATGGATATATAAAATGGAAAATCGATTGAGAAATGGTTTATGATCCGTCATACTTTTATTGAGTTCTCCTCTTTTCTCTTATACCAAATGTTCTTTCTTCTCGATATTGCCCGCAATAAAAAGTTACCATATACCCTCCGTATTCATCCTGGAGTTGAGGCTAGTCTTATGGTACCTAGCTACCTACGTACCCTTTTGAATAGCAATCATACCCTGAGGCTTCATCCCCTTCTCACCAAGTACGCCCGCCTTCTTCAAAATATCCACCGTCTTCTGAATAACACCGACGTCGACCCCCTTCGTCTTTTTCGTAAACTTCACAGTCTTCAACCACTCCCTCGCGTCCTCCTCGCTGTAGTCAAGCGCCGTACTGATATACTTTACGCTCTCCTCCTGATTCTTCTCGAAATACTCAACTCCCTGATCCAGTTTCTCGAACAGTGCTTCGAGCCGCGCATCACTTTGCTCGATAGATGTCGAAGCGACGATCTTCCAGCTGGACCACGGCGTATAGATTTCTCCTACCCTCTTGATCTCCCCATTGTCGTAGTACTTCTTCGAAGTGAAGTGTTCCCACATGAAGAAATCTACGGTAGAGTCGTTGACGCCATTACGCAGTTTCTCGAACGTCTGCAGGGGCGTGAACTCGAACGGGGTAGGCGCCGAAGGGGAAAGCCAGCCCTGCTGATCTGCGAGTACGAAGCTCATCACGTAAGATCCGCTGCCGATGCGCGAGACTCCTACTTTGCCGTCCTTGAGGTCTGCGACCGAGGAGATGGTGCGTTTGGAGCCTGTTGAGATTGCCCAGCCTGTATCCCCATGGAAAATCAGCTCTGGTGTCCAGAACGCAAGCTCAATGTCGCAGAGAAGATGGGGATGTACATAAAGGCGTCTCAACATAGGTTCCTACTATCCTGTATCCTCCGTCGCCCTCTACATCCTCCTTCCCCAAGCCGGCAACCCATCCCTCTGTAAGTCCAATGCCTACATCGATTTCTCCACTCCTTAGGGATGTGATCATGTGGCCAGTGCCAGACGGGAAGGGGATGAGCTCTGCGTCTAAGCCGAAATGTTTCTGTGCATAGTGGAGAGGTGTTGAGAAATGCTCGGGGACGAAGCCGATACGGAGGGGTTTGGAAGCTGCCATATTGACGTGGTAATGTTCTCCACGACACGGGCGATGTATTTCTGTATATATATTCGGCAGTCGGAGGCCTAGAGAATTAGAGAATGGGAGGTAGAAGAGTCTTGCAGATCAAAGCGTTACCTCGCCTGCGGAAGGTAAGTAGGTGATAGAATCAAGGGTTCAGAAGATGTAGATTCTAGTAGGAGAGAGCTGAGAGATCTATGCTGTGAAAGTAGCCCAGAAGCCGATCTTGGTGTAGGAGTAGAAGTAAACCCAATATTGCGCAGTAAGTCTCTAAGAAACTGATATATTTCGAGGGGTCATGATCATGAGAGGGGAAGGTGCGGGGAGGGTGTGGCATCAGCCGAGGCCAGGGGTTGACCGATCAAATTGCCCGTCATCCTCCTTTGTCATATTAACAACCATTCACAACGTTGTTACAACACAACGAAACAACCGTATCCCCTCAATCCAACAGCCTCCTCCTCCCTTCTTGGACCGAAGAAGAAAAATCGAAATCGAAATCACAATCGACCATGGCGTCGTCAACAGCCCAACGCCGTCTCCTCCAGGAGTACCGCGCCCTGACCAACAACCCCCCCGAAGGCATCACTGCCGGCCCCGTCTCCGAAGACGACCTGCTCTTCTGGGAAGCACTGATCCAAGGACCAGAGGGCACTCCCTTCGAAGGCGGCGTCTTTCCCGCCGAGCTAAAGTTCCCAAGCGACTATCCGCTGGCGCCGCCGAGCATGCGCTTCCTGGGAGAGGTGTGGCATCCGAATGGTGGGTTGCGTGTCCTATCCCATTTCCCTGGTCGCACGATTGCCAGTTCAAAAGAAATACGACGACACAGAGACGGGTATAGGTGCTTGTACCAGTGTGCTAATGGAAAAGGCAGTCTACCCCAGCGGCCTCGTTTGCATCAGCATCCTTCACCCACCCGGAGACGACCCCAACCACTACGAGCACGCCTCCGAGCGCTGGTCACCCATCCAGAGCGTCGAGAAGATCCTGATCTCCGTCATGAGCATGCTCGCTGAGCCGAACGATGAGAGTCCCGCCAATGTCGAAGCGGCGAAGATGTGGAGGGAGCAGAGACCGGAGTACGAAAAGCGAGTTAGGGATGGCTGCAGACGAATGCTGGGGCTCTGAGGGAAGCTGGGAAGGAGAGAAATTATGGAGTGTATACGAATGGAGAACATGGACAACGCAGAACTGGATCAAAGAATATGGGAGACGAGGCGTTACTTGCATATATGGAGCGTTGGCGTCTTGAGGTTGTGACGGTTAAGAACACGTTGCGTTGAAGTTAGATATTGGCCATGAACATCGTTCAATGGCATACACCTTATCGAGTTAAGTAGCATATTGCGAGGATGTGAGGATGTTTCCGTGCTGCGTGCTAGATATACATGGCTGGGTATACATGCTCACTTAAAGTGCTACGAAACTACGGCTACCCCTTAGCCATGCCGCAACTCAGTAGGGGCACTGAATCAAGTTGGTTTGATAAAAGTTGGCAGCGCAATTCGGGGAACACAAGAATTAAGCGAGGGAAATCTATCTACTTTATTGACATCAAGATGCCTTCATAATGTTCAGTAAAAAATTCGTAGTCGGAGGAAACCCAAGTAGGATTCCCATGATTCATACAAGTCCTGTCTTCCCATCTCATGTTCGTGATTCCGAACCTCGCACGCCTTGGTACATTGACTTCCTTATCATCTCTCAAATTCTAGAAATCTGACCTTCGAGTCAGTTCTGAGCAACGATGACCTGTTGGCCACCCTCCCACGTCTCTCCCTGCTCCAGCTTCTGCCATCCCTTAACAGCACCGGCCTCTACACAGATCATCTCCTTGTAACCCTCGTTTGGCGAAAAGTCCGCGAGTTTGGCCGCATCTTCCTCCCACGGGTTCCAAACTACGACCTCGTTTAGGTTGTCTCGTACAAGGGTGTACTTCTTCTTTCCTCCCTCGGAAATGACTACTGCTGAAGTTGGGCCTCCAGCGGGAGTGTACACTCTGTCGATCTTCGAGGAGACGGAAATCGCTGAACCGTCTGACGTGTAAGGCTCTGCGCGAGGAGCGACTTTGTCACTGTACGGCGAGGATTCGAGGCCTGCTACCGAGACGGCTGAGATGTCCTGTTCACTAATTAGCCTCCACTTGTTTCTAAATACAGGGATATTTTGCATACCTTGACTCTGAAGTAGGTATGCATCAGAGTCTGGAACTCCCATGCTGTCTCTCCCTCGTTTCTCACTACCAGGCTGGTGTTCAGACCCTCTCTGCTCAGCGTGACACTGTAGATCAGTCCGAATGCATACGGCCATGCTTTCTTGCTTTCTTCGCTCAAGTTGCTGGGGCTGAGACCAAAGTCGAGCTTTACGCTGTCATCCCCTGCGGAAGAGGAAGGGAGGGAGGAGGATTCGGAGGTGCTTTTGCCTAAGAACTCCCAGCGAGAGGTTCGTGCAAAGCCGTGCTGGGGGAGCTTGGAGGTTTCGGCGTGATCGGGGGCTGTTCCGAAGACCTAGGAGAGGGATATCAGTATATTTTCTTCGACGTAATAGATTTCCTCTCAGTTTCCGAGTCGGACGCCATCTTCCAAACAGCACCTCTAAGCCTGAAAGATATGGACCCTTTCGCCCAATAGAACCTCGCCCTCACGACTAACACCGCTCGTTCTTCCACCCATGAGTAAAACAACATACCGGGAAAACCAACGGCACACCACCCCTCACAGCCTTGGACCCATCCAGCTTGGCCACCTCACTCAACCACAGTCTCTCCTGGCCATCCCCGTCCTTCCAGCTGATGATCGTCGCTCCATACAGCAGCACCTCGACGCTCTCCCCTGTCGGCAGCACCGCTGAAACACGAGAATGTTCGTGCGTGATGTTCACCTGGGCTTGAGGAGGGAGACCTGGTGTTGTGGAGAGGGCAGTGGGTTTCTTTGAGCGGTCGACCATCTTGAAGACGATTTCTTGGAGTGAAGTTTGGCTGGTGTCGGTGAAAAGAAGAGAGATTCCTAACGTAGATATGCAGGTAGTAGACGAGAGAAAGACCCTTGGGCTTGATGGAGGTAGGGTTTTGGATAACTGCAATGTGGAATTGAACGGATGAGAACGGAATGTTGGGGGGAGGGAGAGAAGCAGAATGAAAACAGTAGATGATGTTGGAGCTCCTCCTTGTGCACTAGCAGCGGGGTCGCCTAGGGACCGAGGGGTCTCGTCTGTTCATGAGCGCTGCATTTGGCATCTGGCCGGCGGTGCAGAAGGTCTGAAACGTAGAGAATGAGCTGAATAATTACTTCAAATACCAAATACTGCTTCGATCCATCTGATCATGATAGATCGCTTTATTAAAATATGGTCTATCGTTTCCGAGACAATCGATCATGCACGATATTCCTAAGCTGTGGCGCGATTCAACAGATTCGGCCGAGCAAGTAATTATTGTTGAGAGAGGCGTTCAAAAGTACAGCTAGCTTCATATTGAAGCAATGATATTTGCCTTCAGTGAGCTCGTGGCTATTCAAAGTCAACGTTTCGAAACTATTCTATTGATGACTTGCAGATTCCCACACCAATGCCATTTGAACTGATCCCAGGACATCTAACGTCCGCAGATTCCCAGCCTGAGGAGATGCTTGCACACAGGGCTTCTACTCAACCGGCCCGTGCTGCTGCGATGACGTTGGAATGGAAGCAGCCTTTCCAGAACCCTCTGTCTGTCAACTCCTAAGAATATCACGCTCAAATAGTCATTCAATCGTCAAGATATAGCCTACCATCTCCGTCCGATTCACAAGCTGCCCCTCCTTGGGTAAGAGACGCCTTCTACAGCAGCATTATCCACAAACCAGCTGCATCGCTCGCCAGCCCCCTTGTTGACCAACGCACAAGGCAGTCCGAGATCGCCCTCAAAGATCTGCTTCATAATTTCCTTCTTCCCCCCTCCCGTAGCCACAAATGCGATCTTAACCCCATGTGTGACAACTGGCAAGCTGAGCGTGATCCTCTGAGGAGGGGGCTTCGGCGAGTCCTCAATAGGCGCAACCCACGCGTCGGTCTCTCTCAAAAGCGCATGCCCAGGGAACAAGCTGCAGGTATGTCCATCCGGGCCGCATCCCAGCAGCAGCAAGTCAAAGATAGGCAGCTTGACGCTATCCCGCTGCGCAAAGCTCTTGACAAGTGTCTGCTCGTACGTATCGGCTAGCTCCTGCACATCGTCCAGATGCGCGACGTCAATTGGGTGGACAGTAGGCTTGCCCATCTCGGCGGGGATCTTGTCCAGGAGTTCTGACTTGAGCAGCGCGTAGTTGGAATCGGCGTGGTCGAGGGGTACGGCGCGCTCATCTGCGAAAAATATTTCCCATTTGTCGAATTTTACCCTATCGTCTGGGGAGCTGGGCTCCGAGAGAAGGGCCTGCGCGAGAGTCTTGGGAAGGGAGCCGCCGGAGACAGCGACCTTGAAGGAATCATGGCGTTGAATGCCTGCGTTTTGGCATTGGATCACGTAGGCACGGAGGGTCGTCGCCAGAGCGTCAATGTTGGGAAAAGCGAAAAGGTTGGGTTGACGTGCCATTTTTGATTTGCAATTGTGGCTGGAGTGGGAGCTTCTTTTTTTTTTTTTTTTTTGCTTTTTGTCTCCTGGGCAAAAGTCAGTCTTGTCTGCAGTTTGAAATGAGCCACTTCTGAGCGCCAGTGGCCATTCCAGCAACAGAACGATGTGGTACATACCGGTACCTACGAACGCGATTGAGTGAGATTTGAGCACGACACTTGCTTGAAGGTTACTTCTGGGGTCTCGAGGAATAGGTAGAGGGATTGTGCAGCGTGAGTCGAAATCAAAGGAAGTACCGAGCAATTGTGGTGGGTCCTACAATGACGTTGAAAGTGGGACGAAACGATAAGAGAAGTGGATTAAAAGATCCGTCACAGGGGGATGAGCAGTTGACCCCACCAGTTGGGCCGATATCATCCCAGTAGCTACTCGCTAACGAAGACTTACGGAGCTCCTCATCAACAACGTTAAGCTCCATATTTCTTTTCGGTCCCATGTCCTATAATAGTGGCTTCGTAAAGCGAAATTTGTCAACAAACTAGACGCGATATGAAGCGGACTCGGCGGACTCGGTCGCCAGAGAGGTCGTCGTGTTCGATGATATGGCGTCGACGAAGAGACAGGGAGACGGGAAGACAGGATGAGGGTGGGTGCTGATCAGACAGGAATTGTCTGGCTTCAAGACCCTCAGTTATAAAGAGCAGACCAGGAGTGTTATGAAGCAGCCTCTAAGGCTTGTTGGAGAGCCGGCAGCCCGGAAAAAAAAAGAGGCGGTCTTGTTATGGTGGAGGTGGTCGTTCGCTCCTTTGATATCGAGGGTTTGGGATATTAGAAGCCAAGGGGAAACGAATCTACGCCGAAGAAAACACTGGGTCCGAGTGAGTGAGTTCCAATAGAAAAACAAAGAATATGATGACGATCAATGTCAACTTTGCATATTATACTTCCAGAGAAAGCCAACTATTTTCAATACCCTGTCTCTCTGCATTCATTGGTGCCAATCAAAATTTTATACTCATCGCATGTTAGCAGCAACATTTGATGTCAACGCAGCTCTCTCTGGCATTGCTTGAATCGGCGTGCATATCTTGATCAATCTTTAGCTGCGGAGGTGCGTGAACATTACAAGTCTCGGTCTACTTTTGTTGCGTGTCGCGAATTCTGATTTCCTAGTCCCTAATCCAGCCTGCCTACCCAGTTTGAACATCGGGATTTGGGCGTTAGCGAGACGGATTGGCTGACGAGACGTCTTCAAGTATACTTCGCTTCAGTTTACCTACATTCTAGCGTGTTTGGATAGCGGTTCAGAGCTTGCCTGAATACTTGTGAAGTCTTATAGTTGATTGCACTTGAAGTCTTATTCTGCAGCTCTACTAGAATTCTCATGTCAACATCGGCTCTACTCAGAAACAGATCTGCAGTGTTCTTGAACCCTTTAATAGAGAGCCGGCACACATGAAAATTTCCGCACAGCTGGAGGTGAGTGATGTGAGTGATATATTCGTGCGTCATACGTCGCTCACTACGGCACAACGTTGAGCCGCTCGTCCTGTACGCAATTTCGGCGTGTCTTAACTACGTACCGAGCTTTCCTTGATTTGCCGCCACTCCGCTATGATATGTCGACATCATCACTTTGGACGTTCGTACACTAATACTAGTCAATAAATTGATGCCAAGTCGACTTGCACGTACCCGTCAGAGTCTCAATCCTTAAGGCCTTAAGGAAAGACATTGTATCTCTCTAGGAATAGCTGCATTGCTAATTTTTCTTGGCTTCTGTTGATATCGAAGCCTTGCTGATCCCGCAGCATGGCCGGCAAGAGAGGGATCGGAACTCGCCATGGTCGAGATGCCGAAACTAAGAAGGGAGAGTCTCATGATTTGCGAAAAGATCTAGAAGCTGGAGGGGGAAACGGATATGACCGTTCGAACAGGAATGGAACCCGAAAAAGGCCATCGAAGGCGAAGGACCCAATCTACCGGTTTCGAGACAACGCAAATCTAGATGTCGATGACCAAAGACGGGTAGAGTTCAAAAAAAAGCTACTAGCAGCCATCGATCAGGACAAGCTGGAGAACTTCCGGAAATCAGAAGAAGAGGTAGTCTAAATATCAGATACCCTCAATGAACATATACTGAAAGCACGTAGATCGAGAAATTCAAGAGCAAGGGTGTTCGCACCTTTTACACGACCCAGAATGACCGCCTAGACGACTGGCTGGAAGTTGATGCTATCGTGAAGGCTGTTTCGGACGACATTTTGGAGTCTTTTGACCCTCGTGATGATAACGGTGATGGCGTCGCTGAAAGTGGCGGCGGGCTGCAAGACACTGGGGGTGCAATCGAGCCTTTCCTTCCTGAAGACGAGCGAGAGAAACGCAGAGCTGCTGCAAAGAAGGCAACGTGGGCTATCAACATTAACGTCGTTGCAAACATTGTTTTGCTCATCGCCAAGAGCGTTGCAGCTCTCTCCTCGAGTTCCCTTTCTCTCATCGCAAGTCTTGTAGACTCGGCTCTTGATTTGCTGTGTACCGGAATAGTATTTACGACAAGCAAGCTGGTCCAATGGAAGATTGGACGCCTGAAGCGAAAATTCCCCGTTGGCAGAAGAAGGCTCGAACCGCTTGGAATTCTTGTTTTCAGTATTCTGATGATCATTTCTTTTCTGAAAATCCTGGAGGAGTCTATCAATAAGCTCAGAGCACCCGGGCCGCACAAAGCTAGTCCTCTGCCTCCAGTTGCGATAGCCGCTCAGGTAGCGACGATTGTGGTGAAGGGAATCATTGGTATCGGATGCTCACGCATCAAGACATCGACGCAAGTGCAGGCTTTGTGGCAAGGTATGACCCCCTGCTCCTCCTCCTGTTTCCAATACTAATGATACCTAGACTGCAAAACTGATGTTGTCTTCAACACCCTCTCTCTGATATTTCCAACTCTCGGCTATGCCACGAACACCTGGTGGCTCGATCCTGCCGGTGCCGGTCTCCTGTCACTCTACATTATCTACGACTGGGCTTCTACGTGTTTCGAAAATGTCAGCCGTCTCACAGGTGCCGCAGTTGAGGATCGCGTCATGGAGAAACTCACGTTCCTCGCCTGGCGCTTCAGTCCTTTGGTACAAGGCTACAAGAGTATCATAGCCTACCATGCTGGCGATGGGATCTGGGTCGAGATTGACATCTTGCTTGACGAGAAGACGAGTTTGGAGGTATGCCATGATGTTGCCGAGACATTGCAATATTGTGCTGAAGCCATGCCTGAGGTGGATCGGGCTTTTGTCAGTTGTGACTACACCAGTCAGGGGCCGACTGGACATGTTGACGATGACCAATAATAATAAGGCTTTTGTATGTATGGATATGTATGGATATGTATGGATATGTATGATCACATGAGTATCAGTCCCTGTCCATTTAATTTATTACAGACGTCGAGCCTAATGAAAATCTAACCACAGCATCTTCCGACACGTGTGAAGCCACTCAAGTGATTAATAACACGGAGTTCACAGAAGAATCGCAGGAGGACCTGTGATCCTGCGGCCTGCGGATGACCCTAGCAAGAAACGACCCCGCTCTCGCTTAAATGGAGAGAAAAGGGGTTTATTTACTCCCGCTTAGCAATTCACTCTCTTCCGTGTTGCTTGGTAGAGGCGAGCTCTCAAAAATTTGACAGAGAGCCCTGCTACTCATTCGCTGGGGACATATGCTTCTCGATAGCCAACAAAGCTTTGTGATTGTCCCGGCAGATCCTGTCCCGGCAGATCCAGATAATGGTACGATCTAACTTATACAAACGTCCCGCCCCAGCTGCTTCGGTTGTGTATCCCTTCGAATCCAATATCCTAATATCTATCCCAACATCCGTCGCATCCTGCATCCCTACGTACGTCCAGTTTCCATGTCATCTTGCTTTCTATCCCAAGGATATATAGTTCGTCCATCTTCCCAGCTGGCTGTTGCCCTTATAAGCGAGCGCTCTACAAGGGAATCGCTCGGTCTGAAAAGAATCAGCAAGTAAGTAGGAGGCAGTCATTCATGAGAGTTGTGGTTATAGTTAGGTGGATCCTTTCGGTTAATTTGATGTATATCAAGCGCTTGGATGTTTAAACATATCTGTTTCGATGAAAATCGTCTCGGGATTTCTGAAAATGGTTCTTAGAAGGAAAGAGACATATATTGTGAAAAAGATGTTGGTATCGTAAAGATAGATCCTTGCGACTCGTCGAAGGACGTTAGTCACAATCGATCCGCCGCTCAACGAACCGGAAACCACTTATCACGCCTTCCATTGTCTTTATAGTAATGGAATTCCATTAGCTCAGTTCTTGAACGCGAGTGTGGATTGATATCGGTAACACAGTGGTAGGAGACAATTGTCATGATTGATTATTCGTTTTTCCTGTCGCTGACGCTCCACAGCCAAGGAAGGCCCTTCTGCCAACGCGCTTGGGGTAGATAAACAGAGAACTGTAGCATGTCAAGGGATCCTTCAATCCGGTGCCTTCACAAAAAGCTGATGCGGCGTTTCCGGAGACCTTCACAGCTACAGGGTATCTTCCCGTATAGTAAAACTCAAAATCGGGGTTGCCTCATCGAAGGAGGGGATCCATATCTTGATAAGCACTGCGAAGTATTCAGGCTGAGATCACTCACCTGGGTTTTGCCATCTGCTAGCAGCAAGAGCCTTGCTCATAATTGTACACAAGATCGCGTCTTTTTCGACACGAGCCTGCTCGCTCCTTCACAGCTCGAAGCGATCAGGACAGAAACTGATGTTCCTTAAGAGTCCTGATCCACGCCCACGTATGCGTCTCCAAACTGGAAGGTATCCCAGAATTTCTGTGATACTCTCAAACCTCTTGCGCCATCCATGCGATACTTGTGGCGCATGCTGCACATCTTGCCTGTGATCGCTTCGAATTCTCGCAGGCCGCTCTTCTTTGCCGAATAAAAGGCAGTTTGACACGCACGAAAGCCATCTCGGTCTTGCTCCCGAGCGTACCGCAGCATTTCTCGCGGATTAAATACGGGTCGTTCTGTGGCAGTAGCCACGGTCCGAAGTCGAGACGAGGTGAGTTGAGATCTGTTGCGGCAAGTCTGAGGCGGATGGCCTGACTGGTGGTTTACCTATGTTCTGGTAGAAGGTATTGTCGATTCGATGGGATTGTTCTGCAAAGAGAGGTAGCTTGTGATTAAGGAATCAGGCAATGTTGAAAGATTGTGAAGATCCGAGTGTGTTGGGCTGGGGATAAACAGCGCTGTTTGGGGAAAGACCTGACTTGGTACTTATAGAGAATTAGAGCTAAGTTTCTCGCAGACGAACCTCGTTCGAGCCTGGTTGATTCAGCGCTGGGTAGTGTAGGTGCCAGAGGCTCATTTGTGTAAGAAGCGGTGATGATATCCCATGTGGTGGGAGGCTCTTTCTTTTATAGTCTAACAGTCAGTACCATATTTTAATGTTTAATCAGCAGTTACTAGGCCAGCCGGAAAGCACTCTCAACCCAGCTGCAAGACTATTATTATATGATTATATTAGTATGGTCTTATCTCAAGTATACATGCTCATGACCCAAGCAAGTAGACACGCTAAGCGAGTCCTGAGCTCAAACTCGAACTTCAATGCCTTATTATTTCTTAGCAACGCCGCAGCGGATCACGCACACTGGCAGTGTTGCTTATTGATAGTTCAAAAATTCACGCGAACAGATTGATACGAGTAGAGTAGGGTTCATTTTGCCATAGCAGTATCTATAGGCTTGACCTTTCAACCGAGTTCGCCGCCGGCGACAGCCGCCTCCTTGGTCTAGAATTCCTGGTTGGCTCTTACGATTATCTTCAAGACCTGAATAGCATTGGGTGGGTTTCCATACTGGGCGCTAGGTCTTTCGAAGTGAAGCAGATCGGTCCTGATTGCTTACTAACAGAAGCATTTTCGTCGAGAGGGCCTGATCCTAGGGCCTCATTCTTAAGCGCATTTCAGGCTTGTCAATTGGAAGCGGCAAGCGCTTGAGGTTTCCGGGCGCAGACGAGCAAAACGCCCGCCACTTCAGCTTGACTTCATCCGCAGCCTCCGGCAACCTCACTGCATTCCCAACTCCTCGAATGATACGATCTTGCTCGGCGAAGATAGCTTTACCTTAGGCTTCATCTCCAGGCCTGCAGCTTTCAGCATAGCAAAGCGAACAGCATTAATACCTGGCCGTTCCTTCCCATTCATCCACCTGGTAGAGCTGCACGATATGATCTCCCCAATCGCCAGCACGCTGTCCTCCTCCTCTAGATCCGGCTGGACTATGTCCTTGACCCTTCTCATCATCTGATCCAACCTTAGCAAACCCTCCTCCATTGCCTTCCCCCCGGGATTCTTCGTCCCCCACTTCATAAGCTTATCCGCCTTCGACAGAATAACCTGGTACGGGACTTTCTGACTCTTGAACATCGCCAAAGTTTGGATATCCGTCTCCTTGATCCCATGGTCGGCGTCCACCAGCAAGAACGCCCTCTTCAGCTCCTTCCTCTTCTCCAAGTACTTCATGATCTGAACCCCCCACTCCGCTCGGCCCCCATGTCCGTAACCAGGCATATCCAGCACGACCAGAGGCCAGCCCCGATCCTCTCCGCCGACCGCAAACGCGTTCATCAATTTCGTCCTCCCCGGATTCGAACTGGTGAACGCGATGTGCTTGTTCAGGAGAGCGTTCAGGAGGGACGATTTTCCAACGTTCGACCGACCCACGAAGCAAACTTCGGGACTGCTGCCGTAGTCCATGGTCTTGAATTTCTCAGCCGACCAGAGGAATTTCGGGGGCCTTCTGTGGAAGAAGTCTTTGGCGTGCGCGAGCTGTTCTTCGTTTGGGGGGAGGGTGTCCCAGTGGTAGGAGAGCCCGGCTCGGAGGTCTGACGAAGTGAATGGTTTCGAAGGGACATTTCCGACTATCGCAGCTTCGACAATGCTTTGCGGTACGTTGGTACGGGATAGAGGCCGTGCGATTTTGGATATTCGAGGCATCTTGGTAAAGAGCGCTATGGATCTTTACATGGAGATCTTGGTGTTCAGTAGCTCCAGAAATTATTCATGTACATAGAGGTCGGAGCTTGGACGCGCCGACGCGCAGCCGAGGAGCTTTCTAATCTTTTTTTTTAACCAACGCAAGTCCAACTACAGTATCACACTACTACCATCTGACGACCTCAACTTCACAATGTCGAACCCAGTCAAGCTGCGCTCCCTCTACCGCTCTTTCCTGCGCGAACTGCCATCCAGACCATTGGCCGAGAAACCATCGCCGCTCAAGACCCGCATCCGCAACACGATCGCCTCCGAGTCCAGGATACCAATGGAGCAAGCGGAGCAGTACCTCCAGTATTTTAAGGCGCAGAGGATGTACGCGACGCTGCTGGAGAGGTACAACCCGGGTATGAACATGGACGACGAGACGAGGATCAAGGCGACGGCGAGGAGGGTGGGGATGGAGATGCCGGAGGAGTTCTCGTATGGAGGGGACGGGACGGATGGGACTGGTGGTGCTGGTGGTGTTGGTGGTAGTGCGAAGGGTCAATGAGAGCGATCCAAGTCATGAGCGGCGTGCAGAGGATATCCAGGGAGTGGAGATGGATGGTGGGCAATGGACTGTTGACGACGACGACGAAGCCTCAATCGCCCAATAGCCCACTCTCCCCTCCTTCTTGCGAACGCAGATTGTCGGAGCATCGTCACATCTCTTCTCGATTACCATATCCCGCAAAGCAGAGCATGCCTTGGGAATACGAGATTACAGCCTGCTCGTGGCTCTAGCAGACCTTCGGCATCCGGAACTGTACTTGTAAGACTGTACGAGCGATACGCACGAGGACGAACTCCCTGTATCATAGCCCAGGCAGCGAAGCTAGTCTCACAATCCAGGCTGCTTCTTGCCATGTCACAGTGTGATGCGTCTTTTCTCTTGCAAAATTATGGCCTCACAAGCAAGCCCTGGCGAAAACTATTGGCTTTGGATGCCTGTCATATGCTCAAGTGCACGATTTCGCAGTACACTCGGATAAGGTCTCGGAAGACCGGTGGTGTCGTCCAGCGCCGAAATATCCTAGCAATCCAAGAACTCTCGGACATGGCTCAACTTTCGGCCTCTACGTCTTTAGATATTGACTGTCTTCGTTTACTCAACCTCAGCATCTTGGGACGGTCAGTGACACGAAGTAGTACTTGGTCAAAATGGATGGCTCCGGAAACTTGGGATTATTTCGTCTGTCGTTTTCCTATCAGCGCTGGCCACACTTCTTTCTCAAGCAATTCCATCTCAAGCAATTCCAGCTCAAGCAATTCCATCTCTTCAACTCGTTTCCCGTGTTTTTGTTTCCTTCTAGAACGATTCTTTCGGGCATTGCATTCTTAGCGATTACATCTCATCCTTGCTCTCTTCCTCGTCGCTCGAAATCATCTTACTGAGTGGCCCTTTCTTGACCATCAAGCTCATGACCTCGTACAAGGCATCGGCAGCAGCCATGGTGGTGTGCTCAGCATTGGTGTCGTAAGCAGGCGCAACCTCAACGATATCAGCAGCGATGATGTTGATACCTTCCAACCCTCTCAAGATGGTTCGGAGCTCCCGTGTGGACCAGCCGCCGGTCTCGGGGGTGCCAGTGGCGGGTGCAACTATTTCATGTCAGTGCTGAAGAAGAGAAAGGCACGGGTAGAGCTGTCCGTCCTACAAGCTGGATCAAGAGTGTCAATGTCAATGGACAGGTACACAGGCTTGTCGTGTCCAACGCGCGCGTGGATCCTCTCAATGATACCATCCATGCCAATAGTATCAATCTCCCGGGCCTCCACAATCTCAAATCCACAGTACCCGTCATTTTCATAGTCACTGGGACCGCTCAAAGTCGTACGGATACCAGCATGGATGTTCGTGTCGTTGGCCAGCAGGCCCTCCTGCGCAGCATGGTAGAAATATGTACCGTGGTTGATGCTAGCAACCTTACTCGGGGAGCCGCCAAAGACTTTGGGCTTCCAAGTGTCCAGATGAGAGTCGAAGTGGATGACCGACACAGGACCGTAAGCCCGGTTGATGGAGCGGAGCAGAGGGAGGGTGATGGTGTGGTCTCCGCCGAGGGTGATGACTCGAGGCAATGTTTTCCCATTCTTTGAAGGCCCTTTCTTGTTTGCGTCGGTGGCAGGGGCGCGTGTTAAGATTGAGTTATGCCCCTCTTCGATTTGTGTGAGAGCCCAGGTGTTGTCATATCTAGTATTGGTCAATGGCATGTCAAGAGAGAGTCCTGTGCTACTTACGAGGTGACGGGGATATCTCCACAGTCCAGGACTGTGGCCCAACTGCTGAAGGGGTTGGTCTCCAATGGGACGTTGTAGCCTCCACTGAACCGGATCTTTTGTGAGCCTGTGTGCACAGAAGAAGGGTATCAGCCTCTGCTGTAGGGAGTACTGACTAAAGATTGAGACGGCGAGAACCTTGACGGATTCCTGATGGGCCGAAACGGGCCCCCGGGCGATATGAGGTTCCCGTGTCGAAGGGGGCTCCTTTTGCAAGTCAACATGTTAGTGTTGATACATTGATGTGATGTTTGAGGAATAGAAGAGAAGTACCCACCGATGAACGCAATGTCATATTTCACCTCGTCGGACGCCAGGCAGGGGAAGTACGGCAGACGACCGAAGGTCGAGATTCCAGAGAAGACAGAGTCAGCCTGCTAATTGTCAATATATACATCCAAGGTTTGGGACAGTACATATCCTGACCTGGGTCCCACCATCTCCTGGAAGGGTGTTATACCACAGAGCCTGGCATATGTTAACATTGGCAAGCACAGGAGGTCTATTTGCTGCTTACTTTATGGGGACCGGCAATGGGGATTTGGTTCGCGTGGTCACCATGTGCAATCGCGATGGTAGCCAGCGCGGCAACGCTGAGGATGGCACTTTTCATCTTGAAAATATCTGGAGCTTGAACGGAAGCAGATGAGAGGAAGAGAGAGAGAGAGAGAGAGATGGAAGAAAGATGGGAGAAGAGGCATACTACCTTTAGTAGTGCTGAGCAGGCCCTGCACCACTTCTGATGCATGTTGACGCTGCCATGCCATAGGTAGATAGGTAGCAGCCTCGCAGCTTCATCTCTTGTGCTGCTCAGATTGGTGTCAGGAATGTGATGGCCCATGAGCTATCCCTCTCAGCTGATTGACATATGCATACGGCTTGGGGATTACTTGAGAGCTGGAGAGCTGCTGGGTATGGTAATTTGGTGGTTACGGTCTTATGTAATGCCGCGTAGATACTTCCTGTCAATCCCAGGAGGAGAGAGAAAGACAATATAATAGGAGAGATCATAATTGGCAGGTGTCAAGTCATCTAGCATTCTATCGATCCTTGACTGAGTAATCGCAATTGGTATAACCGAAGTCATAATTCATTATTATCTCTACCAAAGACTAAGGATTGGGTAACGAAGAGGTAATACGTCGAGCAAGTCAGGGAAAGCGGTGAGTAATCATTAGATAAGTAATGATACGGATCAACGGAGGGTGAGCTTGAGTGAGCTTTATCGCCGAGCGGGTTATGTAAACATTCGCCAACGAGGACAGCTGCTTGCTTGCTACAGATCTTCGCGTAATTAAATTGGCGCTTGCCTAAGTAAGTGGGAGACTTTGCCAGGAAATACTATCTGCAAGAAGTACTCTGCAGTGAACAGGGCTGATCTAGGTACTTATTGTCAATTGATTAAGCGAGACGAGTAGTAAGAGTACGGTAGGCGAAAATGGTGGGCCACCTCTCATTTACTCCTGGTCTAACTCCCTATCCACACACCTATCCAAACAAGCCCTTACTCTGTATGGGTACGTACATGTTACCAACAACAAGAGAAATCGCATGGTAAGCCTCCGATGCAATCCAACAACTTCCGATGCCAGCCGCGCGATTTAGGATCCACTGTGTCAACATCCACTGTGTTAGGATCCACTGTGTTCGGAGCCACTGTGCTAGGAGCCACCGTGGAAGAAGGATCTGTGGAAGGGAGAGGATCTCCAGCATCTCCATCAATAACCCAACTCGACCAATCAACGGTCGTATCCGAATAGCTTTCTAGCCCTTCTTTAGAATCCCAGCACTGCGCCCGAAAACCCAAATCGTCATTGTTGATCGTATCAGTTGGAATGACCATCTGCACCTTCCCAGGCAACTTTGGCATCCATGCAAAGCGAACTGCTTTCGCCGGGTCCGGCACCTTGAGCGACTCGATATACTCCAAGATGGTTTCTTCGTTCTCATCCTCCCAGTCCCATAGTAGCGTTGGCTGAGCCTTACCGCCCCGAACAGGTTTCGCATAAGACTTGGGCACCCATACTTTGCTAACCTGGTCCATCTTTTCGCTATCCGCTTCGATAACACAGTACCACGGGATCACCCAGACCGGCCCGGACCAGCTCGCCGGCTCGTTTGCTATTTTGGATTGTCAACCCCGCGTGGTGAAGACGTAACCATCTACCGATATCGATTACTTCACTTACTCAGATAAAAGCCGTGCCCTATTTGATTGTAGCGTCCGTAGTCCCGATCGAAACCTTTATTTCTATAAGGCTTTCCGCGCCTATTTATGAAGGAAGCCTCCCACTATAACCCCGCGTCATTGATATAAGCTTATTGGAGAAGTGTAAATCAGGTAGAACTTACTTTGTTAACAGTTCGATAACCGATAACTTTCATTTCCCCATAAGCGCCATTACAGAGCAAGCTTAAGGCGAGCAAGATCGAGCAGATAGGTTGCGATAGTAGCACCATTTTGAGATGCTAGTGTGAAAGGTTTACAAGTCTTTCGATAACGCGAGCAAAACGAAAAGGATGGGCGTGTAAAAGAGGAAGATGATAGAGAACGCGATGGTAAGGAAAGTGGTGGATTCGATCTGAAGTAGGTGCAAGAAGGGATACTGTCGTGCGGTGCAGGGTTGTAATGCTGGAAACTGCAATTCTGCTTCTGCACCACAGTTAAGAGCCACATTCGCTCCCGAGAGCTCAGCTGGTCGATCGATCGCTAGCTGGCTGACATTTGGGCAATTCTTGTGTGTGCAGCTCCAAGTTTTCTTTCTCAACCGAGAACCCGATGCCACCCCGCTACCGTCAGCTGCGGCGGTGCTTATCGCTCTGCTAGGTAGCTCTGTCATTCGTTAGTAAAATAGCTACAATACGGTATGTTTACTTATGCGATGAAAGGCATTCGCTGACCTAGTATCCAGAAGCAAGCAAAAAAAAAAAAGCCCTTACGTCAGCAAAAAGTGCCATCGGGCAAACAATGCCGTGCAATGGTAACCGCTACGTACCTAGTAATACGTATAGAGCAGTCGGTAAAGCGGCTTCACCGGCCTGCTCTGGGGCCCGTGGCGTGCGGTGTCGGGGTTATAATACTGGAAAACCGCAATGTGCATTGCCGGTCTGCGCTTGCACAACAGGATCTTATATCTCTCTCTGACTATATCCCTTTTATCAAATATAAGCTGACTATTTAAAGTATTGCAATCTCCTTTCTTAATGGGATGTGAGAAAGATCAACCGTATGAGCACAGATGTACTGGTAATAATAGATCGGACTGGATCGCAGAGGATCGGATCCTGCATCGCCGGTTGCCTTGAACATTAATGTAGCTAGGTAGTACCTTAGGTAGAAAGATCCCGCACCACCGACCCAGGACAGCTCCTTCTCCCTTCTCAAACTCGATGTAAGATCAACCACCGACGATATCGTAGATATTTCAGTGTGGAAGGATGCGCCTTATCGAGACTAATAGGTATCGACCGACCAATAACATTGTAATTACACTGGGTTGGCTCATTCTTGTGCTGCTTGCTGTAAAGTAGTAAGAAGCGGTACTCTTCCTGTAATTTTTGAAGATGTCGTCGGTCCGTCAGCCGACCAAGCTTGGTTCGTCCCCCAATTCTCGACCTCGTTCAAAATCTCGCGAGTACGAGTGATCGATACGACCATCACTACCCTCGATCGCCTTCACCACTCTCAATTACAATCCGTTCGCAATCATTCGCCGTGCTGCCGAGGAAACTAGCGTTGAGAGTCAAGGAACACAATGGGTTACGATAATGATTGGTTTTGGTACTGTTTTAATATGCGTATAGATTAGGTAGGTAGGTAGGTAGGCATGCCGTACTGAATAAGGGAGGGGGAACACGAAAATCGGACTTCAAGCAAACTATATAAAAAAGGTACACGTGTGTCACTACCAACTTCTATTTAGTAATTGTTTCCTTTTGGAATACCATGAGCTCCATGATTTCCTATCGATTGATAGGACTGGGGTTTTTTTTCCTAAAAAAAAAGTTGTGGTTGTTGAGATATTCAAGGCCAATAGGTATAATTTAATTATTCAAGACGGTTTTTGGCTGTACATTCACACTACTTTTTGATATATTGACTCGCAACAATTGAATACATCTTTACATTAAAAGTTCAAGTTTGTAAAGCAATATCTTCGGAGCGTGTAGAATATATATATATTTTTTTTGATTGTTTATATTAGTAGTTAGAGTTACTGTCGCGGGTCGAATGTTTTCCAAAATCAAATTCGCGGTAACCGACGATTAAACAACCACCTTAGCTGGGGAACTCAACAAGAATCAAGTAAAATTGAGTAATAGCCCATGGTCGACTGGTGGTCTCCCGTCTAGATGCCGATCCAGGATCCTCAAGCGTACTAGTAATGGATGGATGTGGTGGACTTGCGATTGTCGTCAAGGTGGCTGGCCAATCGAGATGATTCCGTTCTGCAATCAGTGCTTCTTTCGCGTACGAAAACTGCGAGAAACGTAAATCAAGCATCTGGATAGACATACTCCAAGTGAAATCCCAACTAAGCGGCAGTCCTCCACTAAGGATGAAATGCCCTGGGAGTTTAAATATTGCCAATCCCAAGTACATGCGCCGAAGAAATCCGCCTGCAGAAACCGCCCAGAGCTATAAATCTCGCCAGCATACCCACCCTCTCTCGCTTCCCAACAAAGCTACCCAATCTTCTTCTCCAGCTTCTTGAATAAACTCCCCATGCCCTTCTCCAGCTGCCCAGCCCTCTTCTCCAGATTTCCCCTCGGAGCCTTGACCTCTTTCGCAGGCTTATAAGCCTCATTTTCTGTTGGTCTATATACCTGCTGATGAATAGAGTAATCAGTCATCAACGGCTTCGTGTTACCAACACTCGCGTATTGATGCTGGGAGAATCCTCCCGGGGGGGCTACGTGCGGTGCTGGAGCAGGCGGGCCTGTGATGGGAGTGCCTACTCCCGGAGAGTAAATTCCGGGTGTACTCGTACCAGGCGACATTCCGGGCGAGCCTGGGTAGTTCGCGAACTGGCTGACGGGAATGTTGGAAGATCTTCGTTGCTGCTGGTAGCCTGGTGGAGCGGCATCTGATGGCGGGGTACCTGCTTGAGGCGGTTGAGCGTGTGGACTTGAGACGTCGGAGGCAGTGGGTGGAGGGGCGAAAGAGTTTTGGAAGTGCTGGGCGAATGGAGACGTAGGAGCTGCTTTCTGCGCGGGTTGGTTGAACTGTGACGGTGGTGCACTGGCTGGGGGAGGGACGGTTGTGAAATAGCTTTGCTGCTGCGGTTGGGATGGGGCCTGCTGTGGTGGTCCTGAAAATCCTTGCTGGGCTGGTGATGGTTGAGGTGGTCCTGGAAATCCTTGCTGGGCGGGTGGTGGTTGAGGTGGTCCTGGAAATCCTTGCTGGGCGGGTGGTTGTTGGGGTGGTCCTGGAAATCCTTGCTGGGCGGGTGGTTGTTGAGGTGGTCCTGAAATGCTCTGCTGCCGCTGTGGTGGTCCTGGAAATCCTTGCTGGGCTGGTGGTTGTTGAGGTGGTCCAGAAATGCTCTGCTGCCGCTGTGGGGGTCCTGAGAATCCTTGCTGTCCATACGGAGCTCCAAATGTCTGACCTTGGTCTGACGCTGCAGCTGCCATGAGAGGATTCACAGCTCCATCTTCCGGCGGGGGCGTTTTCTCGCGATGTCTGATAACCTCAGGAGCAGCTGGTGCGGCTGGATTATAGGCCATCGGCGCGAAATTGGAGGCTTCCTGAGCTTGTGGCGTGGCAGAGACCGGTGGTCCTGGAAACGAAGACACAGTCGACGTTTGGGAGTCACGGCTACGTCCCTGCTGGTACGAAGGGTCTGTAATAGCGATATTCTCCAACTGCTGAACGACTGGACTCATATCTTCTGGATGGGGTGGCGGTGCAAAAGGCTCATCCTGAACGGAGACTAGATGTTGCGGTAGCACCCTCCGGATGCCATTCATAAACATCACCGCGTCCTCTTTCATCCAGAAGTATATATCCAGCGTATGAAGCTTGTACATGTATTTGGTCTCGTTCCGAAGATCGAAAGTTGGGAGATGCCAATCTTGGCCATCTACTGGCGAGTTTTGCTGCTCTGTCACGCCCTGGACAGTCAATGTTACCAGAGTCGAATGTTTATACGAGTACTGGACATGAGTAGCATCGAGATCTGCCTCCGTAATCAGCATCTGGCCCAAGATTCTGCTTACGATTCGGCACTCACACCCGGTAAAGGCATCTTGATCCGCGGTTCCAGCGTTATTCGCAACCTCTATGCGCGCCCTCTTCTGCGAAGCGTTCTCGAAGAGGTACACATACGATCCCTTGTCGAAGCGATGATGCGGCGGTTTCGCAGCTGGAGAACCATAGTAGAAATGTATATCTGCAAATCTGCTCTCTATAAGAATTGCATCGCATAGCTCTGGAATTGGGGCGCAAGCTCACAAAGTCGCTACCAGATCCTCTCCTGGTCTTGCCGCCATGCCGAACTTGGTGCGCCGTGTGCGAATGACCACAGAGCTGCAAATACCAAGGGTAGAAAACCGACTGAGATATGGAAAAAAAATACCTTGGAGAAATGAAGATAGAGAGAAAGACAAAGAGAGAGAGATCAGTAGAGTAAACAGGAACCGCGACTTACCTGATTCCTCACTTGGCGGGGTTGACCTGCATCCACTTGGTACTGCAGATGCCCGGCGGCAAGGAAGCCAATCAGAAGGATAATGTGAGATCAGGATTTGAAGCTTTCAACACAGTGATTGGAATTCTGGACCGGGAATCTGTTCAGGGGAAAAAGCAAGAGAGCGGGCAATGTCGATGTTCAGTTAGCCTCAAAGCCCGTCCGGGAATTTTGCTTTGGCTAAGGGTCCCGGGTTTTCACCGCCATCTCCACGGCCTCCACGGCCTCCACGGCCATTCTGCTTTGCTGGAACATCAACGCACTTGCTAGCTCCAACGGCAGCTCTTGTCCCGGTTGTAAGTATACCTACTGTCCGCATGTTCAGCGACAACATGACTAACGTATGTTCTAGGTACAGTATAGTGTCGCGGTTAGCACGTGGGATTTTGACTGCATATCAAAATCATGTTCTGCAAGGGACGTTCCCGGATCCTCCGTTCGAGCCTGGCTACGACCTCATCCTTTTGTTTTCTTTTGATCTGTCTTTTTTCTCGCCAGACCAGGAGCGAGGGAACCGTATGTTTAGGTTCCGTTGATTTTGCAGTGACTGTGTAAGTTCTGTGTTAGCTGAGAATAGTAGAGGTGATTTGGTAATAACCTTATATGCGACGTGCACCACCTTTCATTCTTAGGGCTGGAAGTAAAAGTGGTGAGGTTTTCGGCGCGATCCAAACCAAAGATCCCGACTGCGGAGTGATATCAGATCATGGAAACTTGTATCGAATACTGAAATGTTGCGGCGGAAAACGAACTCTCTGTTGTAGAATTACATTAATTGTCTCTCATCTATTCGTACACAGAGCCTTCGGGTATCAAGAAGCAGCCGGTCCTATTTGACATTTCCCCCCAAAAGAGTCCATTTATTACGCCCCCAGAATCTTCTTCTCGGCCTCCATTTGTATGAGAATCCGAAGAACGCGCTCGTACGTCCACATTGTAACTGCGCTCGCAGGAGCAGATTTGAAAAGACTAGGGTCGTCAGTAGAGCCCGCCAAAGTCAACAACACACTTACCTGACCGTCAACCCACGATACAGTCCCCTCCTCCCTTCATTTCTTACAATATCCGCCATCGTCCTCAGCACCCCCTTGTACTCCGGAATATTCTTATGCACATACCGCGACCTCGTCGGACCCTGCACCTGCAGCCGCTTCCTGATCAGATCCAGCGGAAACACCGCCGTCTTTGACAAGACCGAAGCCACCACCCCGGCTGTCGCATCCCCAGACCCGAACGGCAGCTGCAGCGCCCCCATAGGCACGCGTAGCATCTCGTAAATCGAAAAGAAGATCCCCATGTACGGAACGATCTGGCCTACCCCGGCACCGAGCCCCCGGAAGAATCCCCTCGACCCTTCATGCGCAGCGATGTCCCGGATCGAGGTAGCGAGAGAGGTGTAGATACGCTCCGTGCCCTGCGCAGCAAACCGTGTCCGTAGAAGATCCAGCGGGTATGTCGCCGTCGTCGCAACCGCGCCTGCGCTCGCGCCGGCGACGAAACTCTCTGCTGCGGCGGGCAACTTGTGCTCCTCGAACGCGCTTTGCAGCGCCGCGGAAACGGCGCGGTAGGTGGTGAACTGGATGGCGCTGTAGGACATGTACATCAGCTCCGCGGGGATGTTGCCTTTCCATAGTCCGGTGAGGCCTTCGTGCTTGAGGATGTGTCGGAGGGTTGGCAAGGTGCCTTTGTAGATGGGGGAGCCGCGAAGGTCGAGGTGGGTGAGCGGATCGGAGAGTGAGTGGGTTTGGAGTTGGAGACGGATCTTGACCACGTCCAGGGGAGCGATGACAAATCTGGGGTGGTGAGGATGGGATTTGAAGCTCGGGGAGGAGAGGTACCTCGCAATCAATCCAGCTGTTGCTCCTGCTACTACCACCTGGGATTTGGAACCCTGCTTTGGTCAACAGTCATTCGTAATTGAAGTGCCAATTGGACTTGCCTCATCCTTGAGGTGCTCTTCGTTTGCAGACATACACCTGTCTTCTCCCCCTTCAACTTCTGAAAAGCTTCACTGGACTGGAAATTTGATGGCAGATATCAGTTAAGGTGATCGGCGTGTTTGGTGGATTGATTGATCTGAGAAATATGTCTTAGGCGATTAGATAAGAGGCAGCGCTGAAAGCTCAATTTTTTTCCCCTCCGTATGTGATAATTGAGTGTCTCTTATCAAACTTGAAAGCCGAGATACACAGTTGGTAATCTTTCAATCTAGTTACCAGGCAGTGATTTTAGTAAGTGGCCTCTTTACTTTCCAGAACCCCCTGGATCAAATTGGCAATCTTCCTACGCCTACCTTGAAAATTCGTCTAACTCGGTAAATGTCAACACTTATTAAAGTATCAACACTATTTCAGCTTACTAGTCCCCGCCACCATACACTATGTAAAGCTATTGTGTCGCAGAAACCCTTTCTTACAGCACCTCAAATCTTAAACTATGATCGTAAATCAGGAAACGAGTTGACGTTGGATGATGTGCACCCTGCAGGATCTTGTACAGCAAAGTGTTTAGCCATTACCTGTAGACTAGTTCATCGGCGGGAACAAATCAACAGCCCCCTCCTCACCCCGCTCTACTGAGTTAGAGATGAAGCCCATGAGTGCACGAGTGTATTGAACAAGTCTGTTCTCACACGCATATTCAATAATTCTCCATACTTCTTCATAATCCCAGATTGTATTCACACAATGGCCAAAGCCTTCAGAGAATTGATTGGCATTGGGCCGTCCACTGCCTCCACCAAGGACAGCGTGTTGGTCATAATCGATGCACAGAATGAGTAGATACCCACCCCCCTTTGAAATTATACGGCAGACAAGACTCACATGAACAAGATATGCATCCGGCCATCTGAAGACCGAGAACGTATCCTCCACACGAAAAGCCATTGCCGCCCTTCTCGAAAAGTACCGCGCTGCGTCTGCACCCCTCGTTCACATCATGCATCAGACTCCAGCCGGAGCCCCTGTATTCACACCGGATACCGATTTGGCCAGAGAATTCGCGGAGTTAGAGCCAAAGGGCAGCGAAAAAGTGATTAGCAAGCAGCAGCCTGGGTCGTTTACGGGCACAGATTTGGAGGAATTCTTGAAAAGTACTGGTAAGAACAAACTAGTATTGACCGGATATATGGCACACGTCTGTGTCAGTACTACTGCTAGACAGGCCGCGGAGAAAGGCTATGATGTCTTGATTGCCGAGGATGCGGTAGGAGACAGGAATATTCCCGGTGTTGATGCTGAGCAGCTGGTAAAGGTTGCTTTGGCTGAGTTGGCAGATGCGTTTGGGACTGTCGTGAAGTCCACCAACATCAACTAAGAGATGAACGTCTCTTCCGAAGCTTCGACTAGGATGGCTTTAGCTTGTTCTTCTGGCTTCGTTTCTGGCTCAGGTTGAATGGTGGTGGACATGGTTCTTGTCGGTTTCTGTGATGGTAGCTTTCTCCGGCTGATCTGGACTGATGGCACTTCCCCTGGACTCTGCTCCCTGAGCTGTTCATCCTTCGTCTGAACAAGTTGCGGTCGAAGCATGTGTTGCCACTCCTTTCTTCGCCTTTGGATCGTGTTCGTCTGAAATGCTGGCCGTTGGAGTTTCCGCTTGCTCCTCCATCTTGATCGGTGGCTCAGGAAGATCGTATGTATATTTTTGTATCCGAGAAGTCATGACGGAGCTGTGGGAAATCTATCTCCTCACATCCTTGCACCAAAGCTTCCAGGTCCTTCGCGATACTATTCTCTGATCTGCAACCCGTTAGTTGAATACCCCCAGGAAGTGTAAGAAAACTTGCGAGTCGAATTGTTTAAAGTTCTCTACATCTGTCGCAATCAAAACTGCCGGTCTCGGCCTCTCGCTGACGGACTTGTAGACGGGTCCATAGCAATGAATAGCATACACCAGACTTCCCTTCCCAATTTCTTGGAAAGCGTCTGGATCATCAACCACTTTGTATCCCAGAGATGTCAGAAACTCATTGTCCACCGCCGTAAACTGCGGGTCTTGGAATACTAAGCCAAGCTCGAATGCATTTTCAAGACCTCCCACGATGGTCTGCAAAGCCGCTAATTGTGTCGAACTCGCTCTCCTGCCCTCCCTCCTCGCGCTCTGCAAGCTCCCCAGCCCGAGTACCACCACATTCTCGATCTTTTGGATCTTCTCCATCTGCCTCATCTTCTCCTTCAGGTCCTTGCAAGCCGGTCGGTCTTCCCAAGATCTCTTGAAATGCTCGAACTCCTCCTTCAACTCTACCAGGGTCCGATTGACATAGCTCACGCCATTGACCTCAAAATCCCCGCCCTGCAGTAATTGCGTTTTGATCTTCGTACTAGTGTTGTTCGAACGCGGTTTATCGACGATATGTATCCAGCCATCGTGGCCCTCAACCTCTTTTCTCTTTGTGTGTACAAGAGCGTTCGCTGCCTTGGCCTTCTTTTTTCGACTATTCTTATTCCTTCTCCCGGACTCCATGACTGTATGAAAGGAAAGGAATGAATGTAAAGAGAATCAAAGGAACTTCCCGCGGAGTCTCCAGACGGGTCAGGCCGAATATTTATTTCATTTGTGTTTAGTGGGCTAGTGGCTTTCTGCCGTCAAGCTCAGCCTGATAGGCTCACCGCCTTTGGGAGGGGTTCTGCGTCGAAACCCTTCCAGCCTACCGGTAGGTACTTCACTCGTATGCGGGGGGCCTGGCTGCATCATTGAAATCGCGCATAACTGTGGAAGTGCCCGCCGGCTTTACAGTAATGTACTTCCATGTTATCTATCACGGGATAATAACAGAATAATAACAGAAGCCACAGCTGGGAAGTCATTGATTACCGTATTGCCCTTCATATTCATACGATAACGTACCGGTACCGGTAGTTCCATTGCTTGTTTGCACCATTACTTAATCCTTCCTCAGCATCCCTTGCCTTCTCCGATCACCGGGCGGTCGGGCCGCGGCTCTCGACCCATCCAGCCGCTACCCCCACGACCTCATCCGTCTCTTCTTCTTGACCTGCGTCGTAGTCTGTTCCAGCCATTTCTATCTTCTGATCCTTTTTATCACAGGATTACAGAACCTGATACTGACCTTCCCAACTACCTATCATTAACTAGCTATCCACTATCCATTATCCACCATCCTCTTGCGCCGCGGACTACCCCGCTCCCCTCCAGCATTGAAATCTTCCAATATTGACCACGACTGGCTCTTCTCCGAAGTACCTCGCTCACTCGACGACTTACCCTTTCCGATAGAGCGCGTGTTCTGCTATCATCGCTCTCACCCGGCGAAAATCACGAACAGTCCAACTTTCGCCATGACGTCCACCATCCCGGCGCAAACATCGGCGCAAGCCCTCCAGGACTACACCTTTCCACGGAGCCGTCTTCGCCTCACCCAACAACACCAAAACAAGACACCCCTAGTGCTCATTGCTTGCGGCTCTTTCTCGCCCATCACATACCTACACATGCGCATGTTCGAGCTGGGAGCCGACTTTGCCAAGTTCAACTCGGACTTTGAGATAATGGGAGGGTACTTTTCGCCAGTCGGAGACGCGTATAAGAAGGCCGGCCTAGCAAGCGCCCATCATCGGCTGGCAATGTGTAACTTAGCTGCCAACCAGTCATCGTGGCTCATGGTAGATCCTTGGGAGGCCGTGCAGAAAGAATACGTGCCGACCGCTCAAGTGCTCGATCATTTCGAATATGAGATCAATGAAGTGCTGGGAGGTGTGGAGAAGCCGGATGGAACACGAGTGAAGTGTCGGATTCTCTTGCTGGCGGGAGCTGACTTGATTCAGACTATGTGTAAGTAATTCTGACCCTGTAGCACTCTCGCTTTTTTGGAAAGTCTTTCCAATTGAACCGGATGATGACCCCGGACTGCTTATGGCTCAACTGAGATTCCACTGACACGCATCCTAGCAACTCCTGGCGTCTGGTCTGACAAGGATCTGGACCATATTTTGGGCCGATATGGAGCATTCGTGGTGGAGAGAACAGGAACAGATATCGACGAAGCGCTGACTAACCTTCAACCTTGGAAAGATAACATCTACGTTATTGCAGTAAGCACATACAGCCACATGTGAAAGGATCTCGCTGATAGGCAACTAGCAATTGATACAGAATGACATATCGAGCACAAAAATCAGACTGTTCCTGCGGAGGGAAATGAGTGTCCAGTACTTGATCCCCGCACCGGTGATTAACTACATCGAAGAGAATGGCCTGTACGAAGACGATAGTACTGATTCGAAAATGAAGGCAAAGGAGCATATTTCTGGAAAGGTGGGCTCCCCGAAGAGCTAGATGGTTACATGAGATCGGAACTTAGAACTTGGATCTTGTACGATAAGAGTGCATCACGACGTTTCCCGGCCATGAGACAAAACCTACCATCATACGCCGGATGCCTTTCGCTTTTACGACACTCCCTATTGGAAGCACAAACAAGCTCCCGTAACGCCGACCCTCGGAATGTCCTCGTCGCATTCGACAGACTGTTCTTCCGAGACAGATACGCAGCGAAAGCAGCCAATTTTTTTTCTTCTTTTTTTTCCCCCGAGTCAGGTTTGGTACCGGGTTGATAAGGATCTTACACAGAAGGCATATGATAGCTGGGAGACAGGACTGCGTAGATGTGTAGGCTCATTTGCATAGTAATACCCAAAGACCCTGAGCGGTGAGAATAATATTTATTATCCGCGCGAATTGAAATATTTTTTCGGACTTGATGAATCGTACCGTGAGGTTCTCGGTGATGAAGATGAACGAAGCAGGAACCGTCGAGAATGTTCCACCTGGCCTTCCGGGTGAAAAAGGGAATAAAGGCATCCCCTGGGCGCCCAGCCAGGCAGCAGCGCCTCCCGCCCCATACGGATGATCACGTGAACGTACTAGCCACTAGCTTCGGTAGCTTGGCCCGAGCGCCGTGGGAAACCTATAAGTTCTCGACCTCGCCACTTCCTTTCCTCCTCTTTCTTCTTTTCTCCCCATCTTAGTGCATGGGTTTTACGCATATCAGTGAGGATTCGTCCGAGATTGCGTTTTTGCTAGTTGAAAACTATAACCATGACCGCTCTTGCTTGGCTTCGCGCCGGGTGAGGAATTTTTGGAAACACACAATCTCTTGAGATGGGAAGTTTATTACTTTTTCATTGCGTGTTTGCCCTTTGGGGTGCGCGTGAGGAAGAAGACGTGTTTGAGTGGTGAGAGGGTGTGCATGTGAGATTGTTTATCAAAAGCAGTCTGACTCGAGGCTTGGAATTACACCAGGAGAAGTCGACGAGGATATTTGCATGTGGTAAGTTGGATGATGATCGTGGCGCTGTAGATAGATAGGTGCAATGAAGATATACTATCTGTCACCTCTGCAGCCTGTGTGTCTCCCCTGACCGCGAAGAACGTGCCCTTGTTGGTATAGGAGTATGGAGCTCCAGGATCATCTCCACATTGAAGCTCCTCCCCCGCGACGAGGACCCCACCAACATCAAAATGACCAGAAAAGCTCTCATCACCGGCGCAACAGGTCTGCTAGGCAGGCAGGTAGTCAAAGCCTTCGAGCGCGGCGGCTGGGACGTTAAAGGCACAGGCTTCACTCGCGCGAACCCTCCCACGATCTTGAAGCTCGATCTGGGCTCCGAGGCAGATGTCTCCGCTGCTATCCAGGAACTCAAGTCCGTATCCCTCCCCCTTTCCTCCTCAGAGCTCTCACTAATCATCAGAGATATGAAGACCGCAAGTCGTAGTCCACTGTGAGTCTACTGCCCAGTTCTACAAGGTGAGGGCATTGCTAATAGATATGGAGGCGCTGCCAACCGCTTCCCAGATAAATGCGACAGCGACCCTGTGGGCACACGAGCCCTGAACGTCGAAGCCTCAGCCTCCCTCGCCCGCCTATGCGCCGCCTCCTCTACCCTCCTCATCTATATCTCGACGGACTACGTGTTCCCCGGCCTGGAGGGCGACGCGCCGTACGAAGCTACGAGCACACCCAGCCCACCGAACTCGTACGGGCTGACGAAATGGGACGGCGAGAAGGCTGTGCTGGCTGAGTATGAGAAAGCTGGCAAGCAAGGCTGGGGCGTTGTGCTGAGGGTGCCAGTGCTGTATGGAAATGCTGGCACGCCGGCGGAGAGTGCTGTCAATGTCCTGATGGATGCTGTTTACAAGGCGCAGGAGAAGGGTCAGGGTGTCAAGATGGATCACTGGGCTATCAGATATCCTACCAATACGGAGGATGTTGGTCGGGTTCTACAAGGTATATACCATTCCCCCCTCTACTCGGCAAAAAGCGTGCTAACATAAAACAGATGTAGCGACCCATTACCTCTCCACAGACGATAAGTCCTCCCTGCCCACCATCCTCCAGTTCTCCTCCGAGGATAAAATGACCAAATACGAGATCTGCGAGATCTTTGCGGAGATTATGGGCCTGCCGCTCGATGGCATGGTTGCAAATACCGAGGGCAATGATCCGAATGCGAGTGTCAAGCGGCCGTATGACTGCCATCTTTCGACCAAGGTGCTGAAAGAGTTGGGGATCAACGTTGCGACACAGGATTTCACGGCTTGGTGGAGACGTGAGGCTAGGGCGTATAGGAAGTAAGTAGGCTCGGTACCATCAGTCCTGACTTGCTGCTCTGCTCTACCTTTATAAGCATCCATGAGGTCTGGGATGCGCCAACTCAACAGATGTGGCGTAGCTATGTATTTCTATACGGATCTGCAGAACTTCGAACGCTCCCTTCGATAGACACAATTCAGCTTGCATTTCGAAATGCGTTTGTCCTTGCTTGGCCCTTGGGTTCGAGGTTGGGGAATTGTCTGCTGCTGCTCTACGAGGACTGCCGTCGATTGATGTCTCTCAAACTCGCCTTGGGTATTTTCTTATCCTTTGCCCCCAAGCTATTTCTATGTCTGTCATTCTTATCGGCGAGGTCCTCGGTGCGTGGCCACAAAGCGTGAGCTGGAACGACATTCCGCCCCGAGTTTCTGGGATCGATCCTGGCACAAAGTCAGCCAAGTCACCTGCCTGAGACTTTTAGTTCTCGTACCAACGAAACGGCAAATTTTGAGGATAAGGCAGTGGCCGCTCCTTGTCATTATAAGTCTTGCATATTCTCTTCGCATCCATATCCTCTACCCACGTCACAAACTCCTCCAGCGTCACTGCACGTCCCGAGACCTTGGAGCTTTCATGTCCAGGGTAGAATCTAGCATTTCGTTTACAGTGTTTCGTCAGCAGCATTTTGTTCGGGCAGTTTGCGTAGCACCTCCTCTTGTTAGCCCTCTTGCTAGCTATTGTCGACGGAAGTTTATGAAGCACGGCTCCCGGTAGGTTATAAAAGCCATCAGACCTCAATGCTTCAGCTTTAGTATCAAGCAGTGGGTAGTACTGAGGGTTATCGGAGCCTGGCTCGAAGTCTGCGAAGCCCTCGTACATGAGATCCTGCACATATCGTCTCCTCCTGTCTTGGATCCTGTCCTGGTGGTCATCCGGGAAGGCACCTGCAATACCATATCCGAACGCCAGGCACATCGTATGCGTCACTGTGTAGATCGCACAGTCTCCCCGGAACCTCTCCTGCACATGTGCAGCACCAGTCCGCAGTTTCCACTCGCACGGCTGGAACTCTGATCCCAGGAACTCAGCGAGCCAGGCGAAGATATGCGGTACGCATTTCGAGCCTGATGATCTCGGCGAGTTGGGCAACCCGCTTTGCAAGTTGATCAGAAACGGCTATCCATAGAGGTGGGAACGGGATGAGGAGAGGACCTACGTATCGCCCCCCGAACACAGGTAATCGACCGTCTTGGCCTCCGGGCTGATGGCGCACAGCGCTACGTGCGCGTCCTTCTGGTACATCGGCACAAAGTTAACCAGGATGAACAGGTACCGCAGTTTCCAGAACTGGCGCTTGCTCAGGTACTTCTCCGTTTCCTGCTTCATCCACGCGGGCGTGTTCTCCATGAGCTGTTCGTGGAAGGACTGGTGGGAGGGGAAGTAGAAGAAGCGCGGATCGGCACCGGCGGAGTGGAAGTCGGTGCCGGTGAGCTTGGAGTGCCATCGGTTGGCGTAGTGGCAGATGAACTGCAGGTAGGCTTCTGTGCAGAGGGCGGGTGTGCCAGCGTCCGGGTCGAGGAGGCGAAGGCCTTGTCGGGAGCTGAGGCGGGTGCCTGTGCAGACTGCGGGTGTTTTGTGTTAGTCTTGACATCCAGAGTGACAGCAGCCTAGCATGCCCGAGCTGACGCTGGGCTGCCACTTATTTGGGGACTGTTGTTACACACCATTTGACTCTTCTGCACTCGGCGTGGAGCTGAATAGTGGGTAGACCGGCAACGGCTGCTTCAGCGACTTCGCTTTATTCTGAACCCCTATTTCGGCTCTCAGAGTCGACAATTCGCTAAAAGCTCTCACACCTACACAATCACAACATGTCAGTCAAAAACTTCCCCACCTCACATTGCGAATTCAAACAGGGCTTGGGGCTCAACAAGTAGCAAAATCGGGACGGGAGAGGCAGGCTCCGAGATCTTGACTTTGAGCAGCTTCTAGAGTCCTTCTAGGCGCGGAGGGGAACGGAAGTTCAAGATTGGCATCCATACGTTTGTTGAGCTTCTCCACCGTCTCTTCGTCCGGCGGGCTGAACATCTTTTCGCGCGCGGCGTGGATGATGGCCGTGTCGCAGGCAACGTCTGGCTGGTGCTCGGGGGCATTGGGATTCATCTCTATTGCTGGCCCTCCTGGCGGGTAAGGAAGGGCGACTCGCTAACGAGCGAGATTTTTCAGAATGCAAAAAAAAAATAGAGGCGGCAATCGTGTATGTGTAGATCGATATCGCCCGGGGAAAAGTGCAGATGGATTTCTGTGGCCCTCGGGCCCGGATCTTTTTGAGTGGAATTGTTGTGAAAGGAAATTCACAATCCGTTTCTATCTTCGGTGTTTTTGACAAAGGCTCTTTGCTCGAGTTGAGCTAATGCGGACTTGGGAAGTCGGTCCAATCAAATAGTCTGGAGATGTTGGATAAAGAGATGTCGAGGGCTCCTTTCACATTCGATTCTTTCTTTGCAAAGGACCTTTGGAGTGCGGTAGCCAGTGCCGGAAATCGATTGACAATATGTTGCCAATGCTCAAGCCAGTACCAAGACTCTTCAAGAGACGTTTCCTCGGGCACGACTTTGATTCGTCGTTCAATTGAGCGTGTCAGCTCTTGGATAGTGAAGAAATGTACTAATGTTACTACTGTTCCTACCTCACGGCCGGAACGTATCTTTAACATCCTTCACAGCCACACTCTTCACACTTACCGCAACCCTCCCTGCAGCTTCATCCTTCCCATTAAGCGTAAATACCTCCTCCACCCCCAAACCCTCCAAATACGCAATCGCCCTGTCAAAGTTCGTCCCAACGTGCCCAATGCCATGACTGTCATCACTCATCGTCAACCTCCCTCCCAGCTTCAGATACTCCTCACAGACACACCGCATCGGGTACGGCTCCTCCAGCCCCTTCCTCAACGCACTCGAGTTGATCTCCAGCAACCCGCCCTGCTGGACCACAACCTTCAGATTCCTCACCACGCGCTCCCACACCCCGTCCATGGCCCTCAGACTCCGATTCGGCTCATCGCTCCACAGCCGAATCAGGTCAAAGTGGCCCACAACCCTCGGCTTCAACGCCTCCAGCATCTCCAGCTGCGAATCAAAGTAATCCTCGAACAAGCGCTCGTCGCTACCACCGGCCGCGTCCCGCGCCTTGCGGTAGAACACGGCGTCGTAGTCGATCGGGATGGCGTGCACGTGATGCACCGACCCGATGAAATAGTCGACGAGGCGATTTGACGCGAGGTCTTGGATCAGGGGGCCGTAGGAAGGGCGGATCCATTCGCCTTCGAAGCCGATCAGGAGCGTGATTTGCGGTGCGTACTTCTGGCGGAGGCGCGCTGCTTCGGCGAGGAAGGCTTCGTGGCGGGGGAAGAGGGGCGCGATGGTCTCGCCTGCTTCGATCTAGTGGGTGTTAGTCTGGCTAGATGTGCATGTCAATACATAAATGCCTATATTTGTATGTATGTATGTATGTTTGTATATATGTTTGGAGTCCGGGAGGGAGGAAATAGGAGACTCGCCTCATCCGGGTAGAGGTCGTCGTTGGAGTTTCGGGGCATGTGCTCGGTTAGAGCGAAGGTCTGCATGCCCCTGGCGATGGCTGTCTGGATGACTTCTTCAAGTGTGTCTTTGGCGTGGCCGGGGCAGAATTGCCCGGAGTGACTATGCATCGAGAAGGCCATCTTGGAAGTAGGTTTGGAATGTTGTGAAGAGAAGGAGAAATTCAGTACAGAGATGGAATAAAGGTTGTCGGTACCAAAGCAGTATATGTTTTTCAATCCAGTGTGTATACAGAGTGAGTTCGCTTGTTAGGGTGGGTTACCCGAAAGTGGAATACGGAACATAATTGATCCCTCCCAGTTCGGTCGGTCAGCTTATTCTATCCTATCCTCTCTCCTTCTCAAAGCCTCAGGTTTCTATCTTCAAGCTTCATTTCTCGATATTAAGGCATGAGCATCTTCCAGCATGAAATGCATCAGTAGAAGCAGTCGAATTTGATGCATAAACCACTCTTCTCTACCCCGGATTGAACATCCACTATGGGTCTCGCCATCAAGCGCAACTTGCTCGCTTTCCCCCCAGGCGACAACTCTTCCGACACGCTTGTGAATGGCGTACATTTCGACCTCACCACCCTCCAGCATTGGAACTACACATACTATTCGAATCAGACCTTCTCGAACGGCTCCCTCTGCTGTCTGGTCTTCGAACCCTATACTCCGCACCTTCTTCACAATGGAACCTTTCTCAACAGCACAACTTGCTATTCCGCGGTCAGACCCATGGAGGCCCGTGCTAAAACCGGACTGCTATTCGCATGCCTATTTGCGCTGAGTATTGTGTTCACGTTGAACAACCTGCGCAAACATGGAAGACTGTTCTTGCCAATGGAGAAGCGTTTCCGTGCGGTTGGGAGGAGGTGGCAGTGGTATTGGATGCTTTTCGTTGCCGGATGCGCGTTGGTCAGCTGTATTGCCAATGTGGATGTGGATCGATACTATCTGCCAGAATTGCCAATAGTGCTATCCAGCCTTTTCTGGTTCCTGATGTTACCGACGACGATGTGTATGGTCTGGGAAAGTGTGAGGCATTGGGGAAGTTGGCAGGAGAGGCAGATGGTGGATCCGAATCCGTTTTTGCTGAGGCAGGATGATCGGCGGAGTACGACGGATTTCTGGCTGCCGTTGTTATTCTACTGTTGTGTTTGGATGGTATGGTTTTCTATTCTTATTGTTTTTACAATTTCTCTCAGGAATTTATTGACGAGGACAGAACTTCTTCATGGCTGTCCCAAGGTCCTGGACTCCTATCGAGTTCCAACGGGATCCCGAGCAGCAACATTCCGAAGCCGAACCGCTCGCAACGGATACCCGGTTCAAGCTTGCAGCTTTCCTCCTTCTCGGAAGCTGGCTGACAACAGTATTCTCACTATGGCACTCGATCAATCACTACAAACCTCGGAAGCAAGGAATTGTCAACCGAGGGCTGAGTATCTTCAGATACACACCTTTTAAATTCCTCCTCACACTTCCACTTTCTCTCGTCATGATCGGCTACGAAATCGTGTGTGCATTCGACTTCGCCATCTCCCCACTGAAAGTCGGCTCTCATACAGCCTACATGTATGGCCTAGGCTGGGCTCCAATAGCAGCTACCATCCTCGTGTACGAGGTAGCAGGATACCTCGACCCAAACGAAGACCGAGAGCTCATCCGCCAACGCCGAATCCGCGCCGCTCAGATCGACGCCGAGGTTGGCATCACGAAGAAGCCGCGTTGGTGGTCAAGACTCCACGGCGACAACAGAGCGGTGAACGTCCAGGATGCGGTTGCCCGGAACGTGGCTGAGATTGGGGGAGGGCGAGCTACGATGGCGAACGTGCAGATCAATCTCGAATTGGGAAATATGCCAGTCTCCCAGAGACAGGGTAGCAGTAAGGCCTCGGGGGATAGTGAGGCTGTAAGGGCTGCGGCAAATCTGCCGTTTCTTTTCCGTTCTGGCATGGTGGAGACGCAGGACCGGTTCACGGATCAGCCGGACCTTACCAGAGAGAGGAGTTCTGGGGAAGTGAGTAATGCTACGGTCACGGCAAATGATGGGGGCGGCCGTGCTGGAACTGGCGTCTCATCGACTGCGACTGCCCCTTCGCAGCAGATTCGAAGTATGCTGGATGTGTAAGAAGGGCCTGGAGTTAGGAGCATGGCGCAAAACCTGTGCGGCACCTGGCGTTGTGAAAGATACCCAACAGGGCGGATGATATGGAAGCCTCCTCCTCTAGTGAGGTCTTGACCAGCTACATCATTGCTCTAAATGCGTCCGGCGATGTAACGATAAAGAAGCTGCTCCTGAGATACACTCCGTATAAACACGGACGCCTCTAACATCACTAAGTGTTTTCGTTACGAGCTTGCCCTCCTCCCATCCTCATCCGATGTCATATACATATATATATATATATATATGTATGTATATATTCATACCACCTCCCCCGCCCCCTCCCCCTCTTCAAGAAAAAACCATATAGAATTAACATGAAAGCGCCAAGAGTCCCAGCACAGCAGCCACGGCGGCAGCCCACGCAGAGCTCATTACCTGCCTCGACGCAGCTCCCGTGGGAATTTTATTCGTCGCTGGACCGCCCAGGTACCAACTCCCGATGTCTGTCAACTCGCCGTTCTCAGTGAGCATAGCGGCGTTCGGGCCCACGTTGCTCACGTCGCTGCGGAAGGAGCCGAAGTAAGTGTAGCGTCCGACGCCGGGCAGGCGGTCGAAGTACTCGGTGGACATCTTGAAGAAGTCCTGGGTGGCGTCGAGGGGGCTGTTGCTGAGCGCGTATTCGGAAATCCATTGATTCACGTTGGGATAGCTGGGTTCGTTAGTTCCATGTTTTCTCGCTTGGGACATGGAGATAGAAAGGGATACCCACGTTCCATTGACTTGTCCCATGTGACTCGCCAGGCCTCCGAAATCCCCATACCAATGGATCGGAATGAAATCAACCGTACAGTTCGTGCCCTGCTGCCCACACGCCGTGAAGAAGGCATCCAGCCACGTGAATCCCTTCGGACTGCCTGTCACCGCCGGCGCGCCAACCTTCACACCTAGCTTTCGCAGCGGCTCCATCTGCTCGATCCAGTTCGTCGCCGCGCTCGCGGGGTCAATCGAGCTGCCTCCCGTCGCCGCCGTGCCGTCCGGCTCATTGTACCCCATGACATGCGTGACGTTCCTCCCGCCGTCGATCAGAGCTTTCACTTCGTCGTAGAAGGTGTTCGAGATGCCCCACAGCATGGGCACGAACTCGAATTCCTCCTGCGTTCGGTTCGCGTACGCCGCCGACGGCTGGACTTGGTAATTGTAGTACCAGGTCAGGTCGCTGGTGCCCTCGACCCATATCTGGTTGTCGTGTTGGCGTGTCGCTTCTTTGGAGGGTACGAAGACGAGGCCGCGCTTGGGAGAGCTCTGGAAGTTTTGGGCGAAGGAGAGGGTTGGGAGGGTGGCGGAAGCGAGGAGGAGGACGGCGGAGAGTTGCATGGTGAGGGAGGTATTAATGGATATCCTGTTCAATCAAAACTTAACTCGCTGGATCCGGACCTCTCTGGCACTCCAAGTTTCTTGCTGCACATCTGACGATCTCAGCTGCGCAGAACTGTTTGTCAAGTGCACAAGAGAGACGCAAACACCGAAAATAGTGAGGCCTCGATCGGGGGTTGCAGTACGAAGAGAAGGAAATGGACATGGCGATAGCGACCGAACTGGTTCTACGCTGCTTGAGGTGTGTATCGCTCCCGTGTTGGACGGCTCGCTCCCGGGGCCAACGAGATTGTGTACGGAAGAGAAGTCGCATCGGGAAGTGGTTTAGCGCTCATGGGGAACCTCAGCCCGGGGTAATTTGCTCTGTGCATCAATAATAGCTGTCTTGAAGAACATATGTACTCTGGCCCGTTCGCATAGCACTATTGAATTCGAGAAGCGCCCTTTCAGACGTCTCTCTCCTCGTTCAGCGAGAGGCTCTGTGCAACTGCGAGATGAGGTAAGTAAGTATCCGGTAGTAGGTGGGTAGTTGTATTCGTTTAGAAACCAGGTTGGTTGTACTTGTCTGCCGTCTCCGTTCCGTATGTAGGTATCCTGTCGGTCGGTCCGTGGCGGACGCAGGGAGAACGGATGATCTGATATCAACAATCACCTGGCATACAGCCCCAATCTTCCTTTTCCTATCGATGAGACCGACCATAAGACGAAACGAGAAGAAGCTGCCCCGTTGACACTGACACCATCCAGCCCGGCCGTCAATCCAGAATCCACCAATCCCAACTGCTCAGCTATGTCTCTTGGTCTCTTGGTCTCTTGGTCTCTTGGTCTCTTGGTCTCTTGGTCTCTTGGCCTCTTGATCTCTTGGTCTTTTGGTCCACGATAGACGACGATGAGCCCTTGTCCTGACTCCTCTCCAAGGTCGGGAAGGGAGTCCGAGTCCGAGTACCTAGTAGCCCGTGCCGCCCCGGCTCGAGCCTCATGCTTCATACTGGTACCTCTTGCCACCACCGTCGGTCCAAGTCACGCTTTAGTACGTCGAGTAGTACGTTTTGTAAACGCAGGATACACGGGAGACTAAAGACGAGGGCATTTCCCGTATTTCTTCTTCTTCTTCTTTCCCTTTCTCCTTTCTCTTCCACCTGCGATCGGTCTCCTGTTTACAAGCCAATTTCTTGTTTACAAACCCAAACCCAATCCCAATCCCAATCCCTTCCAAACCCCTTGCATCTCGTCTCGAGGTGGTCTGCTGATAAGTTGGACGTGACAAGCTGTTGTTCACCGACGACCCTCTTTTGTTCGATAACGATCGCTGTCCGTGCCGATAAGAGCACTTCGCCTCCCCCTCCCCCTCCTCTTCCTTTTGCAATATAACCACACCTCCCATCTCAACCCACGACAGCTACAAACTCTTATCAGAACCCCCAAATAAAACAAGTGCCTCGGTATGTAAAGTATCACCACCGACACACTATTCCTCCCTACCGTCATCTCAACTGATCACTAAATGCCCGTCTGACAAACAGTCAGCTTACTCGACCACAACTGACTCGACAGCTCATGCCTCGACGCCTGGCCTCGGACCTGTAGACCGCCTTTCTCTGAGGAGGAATTTGGATCCCAAGAAACCATCCCGACCCAATCTACGGTGCATCCCTACTTGGGTCCGGGAAGCAAAGAATCAAGCATATATACAATCCGGTGTCCGGGAAGAAGTTCCAGCAGCGTAGGGTAACCCCGCATCTGAGGTCTCCTGAGACGACAAAACATCCAGCGTTTCCTCCAGCTCATCCTCTTCTCTCATTCTCATGGCGAATCTCTCTCCCAACATGATCCTCGGATCCGTATCCGAGTCTTCTGCAGCTTCGCCGGTCGAACCCTTCGAAGCCCTTGCGATGGAGCAGCCAAAGCTCAAGGGAAGGGCGAAATTTCTCCGCGGTCTCCAGCGAATTTCGTCCTCTCCGTCGCTCGCACAATTTGGGAGGAGGATGGTTGAAAGCAGTCCATACACTGGCCGTGATACATTGTCGTGTGCGAGTTTGTCATCTGGCACTCCACGCAACCATGACAGTCCATACCCCTCCCGATCATCTGGAGCGGGCTTCTCTACAGCCCCGACTACTCCTTGCCAGGGGCTCGGACAGAGCTCATTTACTTCTAGCACTTCAACAATGCCTATAAGTGCTTCGCCGTTGAACCTGAGATCCCAGTCAAGTCAAGGCGCAACAAATGTGGTCGTTCCCGAGATCTTCGATGACTATTTTTCGCTACCAGTACCTGCACCGAAGCCCAAAAGACGGGCCAACTTCAACTTTTGGAGAGATATGCCGCCCGAACTCAGACTGGCAGTCTTTGCATTTCTGAGGCCGAAAGAATTGGTTCGGGTCTCGGTTGTAAGCAAACTGTTCCACGAAACATGCTTTGATGGGCAGCTCTGGACTTGTTTCGATGCCTCCGAATTCTGCAAGACCATTTCAGCTGAATCTCTCGCCAAAATCATTGTGACTGCGGGGTCATTTGTAAAGGATATCAATCTTCGGGGCTGTGTTCAGGTCGAACATTACAAGCGGGCAGAGGTCGTAGTCAAGGCTTGCCGAAACTTGATCAGCGCAAATCTCGAGGGATGCAAGAATTTCCAGCGATCTACGCTTCACAATCTAGTGAAGAATAACGAGAGATTGGCGAGCCTGACTCTTACTGGTTTGCCAGCTGTTACTAATAGCACATGCAAGATCATTGCTAAATCATGCCCGTCGTTAGAGATGTTCAATGTTAGTTGGTGTACCCACATGGATGCTCGAGGAGTTCAGACTGTCATCAATGGATGTCCGAAGTTAAAGGACCTACGAGCAGGTGAACTCAGAGGCTTTCACAACCTCGAGGTTGCTCAGGATATCTTTGACACCAACAACCTGGAAAGGCTTGTCCTCAGCGGCTGCTCAGATATTACCGATGAAGCTTTGCAAATAATTCTTCACGGTAAAGAGCCTGACCTAGATATCCTCACAGATATCCCTATCGTACCTATCCGAAAGCTCCGACACCTCGACCTTAGCCGTTGCAGTCGCTTGACAAACGCCGGCATCAGGACACTCGCCCACCTGGTACCTGCACTTGAAGGTCTCCAGCTCAGCGGTTGCATGGCACTGACCGACAATGCCCTCTCCAATGTGCTGGCCACCATTCCAAAGCTCACCCACCTCGACCTCGAAGAGCTATCGGAACTCACTAACAGCTTCCTCTCGGAGCACCTGGCCAAAGCACCATGCGCACCCAGCCTTGAACACCTGTCAATCAGCTACTGTGAGAATATCGGAGACACGGGCATGCTCCCTGTCATCCGCGCCTGCACTAGTCTCCGTCGCGTCGACATGGACAATACCAAGATCAGCGATCTCGTGCTCGCTGAAGCAGCAAGCATGGTCTGCGCCCGCTCCTTACGCGCAACCGGCGTCCGATCTCCTCCCCGCGTCTCTCTGCAGATGATCGTGTTCGACTGCAGCAACGTGACCTGGACCGGTGTCCGCGAAGTCATATCACGCAACTCGGAATTCCGCAAACGCAGTGGCTCGCGAAAAGGTACATATGCCACCGAGCTCATCGGCATAAAATGTTTTTGCGGGTGGCAGGCAACGGTTGATGAGCATATGCGAAGAGTATTAGGGGGCGATATTCCTGCGGCGAGACGTCTGGAGCACAAGTGGGCGAGTTTCATGATGACTATTGCGGAGCTGGGCACCGATGGAGGGGACTCGAGGAGGAGGAGAAGGAGGGCGAGGGAGGCGCAGATGATGCATGCTGATGAGGAAGAAGGCGGTTTTGGCATGGGCGGGATTGGACGAAGACGAAGGGCGAGGAGCAATGGGTGTGCGATGATGTGAAGAGGGTGGGAGTTAACGATAAGAATGGGGGACATGCAAATGTGTTTTCTTTTACTTTCGAGCTTGTTCTCCTTTTCTCGCTTATTTTCCTCTGGCTGCTGGACGCGGATTTGGATTTATCTAGATGTTGATAAAGTTCGGGGTACATGATTCGGAGTCGGGCGTTGGATGATGGTCGGTCGATCGGTTAGCAGCGGCTTCGATGAATTATGAGGAGTGAATCGTGTGCTAAGATATTGTGAAGATCCTTCTTCGTGGAGCTGAGGAGCATGGAGTCGTTATCGTACTCAGAAATTCCAGAGCACATACAGACCATTCAACATTGAGCCAAGTGAAATTTACAACTCTCCCTCATTGCAAGCCTTTCTTCATTCGTCTCAGGTCATACATCATTCGATATCCCATGCCTTCAATCCGCACCCAGTGGCCGGTTGACACCTGACCAGCCAGCGAAGCAAGTAATGAAAGCACATACTCACTCAACAAGATGCCTCACCCGGCTCCCAACGATACACACACTCCTCGGCTTTCCCTCTCACCCACCCCCGTTCCTCACGACGATCCCCTCATCATCAGTCTCCTTATCGACTCCCAGACCGACCGACCATCTCGACGCCTGCTACTGCGATCCCAATCTCAGGCTCAATCTCAGCCGAACGGCACCTTGACGTAGGCACGTCGTCGTTTGGTGAGTAAGTACGGAGAGGTCGCCGCTGCCCCCGGGCAGAGCTGGACCTGGGCAGCTTTGGGGCTCGAACTCATATGTTTGTTGATAGGGTTTCTGTCCGTGCGGGGAAAGGGAAGGAATAAATTGGGATATGTGTGTTGACATTTCGACATTTGAGAATCAGTATTGTAGAGAGTATTTGAGGTTGGGTTGGTCCTCTCGGACCCTTTTGCACATTTCAATGCAGGAAGAGAAGTTGGGCGAGTAGTATTTGTTGGTATTAGTTAGTAGCAGTGTGCATATATATGCTATTTTCCAACTCGTGTAAGTAGTTGATCTTTTGACTGCTACAGATCGAGGAATAGCGCGAGATAGTCTGAACCAGGACTATAAGAGCCGAGGTCCAACCGACGCTCAAGCTTCAACTCGCATCGTGAGAAAAAGCTGCCGGTCAGCATCCCACACTTTAATGTCAACAAAAATTAAAAGTATGCAGACCATGACCGCGGCTCACCATGGACTGGCGCTATAATCAGCGTGCCTCTAGCTCCAGGCAATCGTACAACTACAACTACGATCAGTACTACTACTCCGACGAGGAAGACGACGAATATCCGCCTCGATACCAGTATCAGAGCCGCAACCAGGAACTCGAACCCCAACCCAGCTACACGCAACGCTCTCCCTCACCAGATTCTGAAATCAGACACCAGCCACCTACAGACGTACAAGGGCCCAAGAAAGGCAAAGAAAGCATGTCGTCCTGGCTCTCGCGCACGGCGTCCACCTCGCAGGCGCAATTCGCCGCCACAGCCCTCGTGTCAGGCGCAGTGGTCGCAGGCGCGATATTCGGGTACCAGCATGTGCGGCGGCAGGAGAGGGTCGAGGATCTGAAGAGCTCGATCCCGGCGCTGGGGCGGAGCCATCAGGCTGATAAGGTGCGTGTCCGGGGACTACTGCGGTGAGGAAGGGTTTGCTCGTGCTGATGGACGAAGTGAAGCTCACGGATTTTGGGGCGGCTCCTTCGAAGACGGGGATGAGTAAGGAGGATGAGAGGAGTTTGGAGTTTGCGGAGAGGGCGCAGCGGGGGGATTATGACGATGGTTTGTCCTGGGGAAATTCTCGGGCTGTCGAGGGAGAAGTGCTGACGTGGGAGGCAGAACTCATTCTGGAACAACTTGCCCGGAACAGAGTCTTTCTCAAGGATGAAGGTCTTGCGAAGCTTCGATCGGCTTTCATAATCGTGGTGGGATGTGGAGGGGTAGGATCTCATTGCACGGCAGCGCTCGCCCGCTCGGGTGTTTCTCGAATCCGCCTCATCGATTTCGACCAGGTTACTCTATCCTCCCTCAACCGCCATGCAGTAGCTACACTTGCAGATGTTGGAACACCGAAGGTGTCATGCCTGAAGAAGAGACTACAGCAAGTCACACCCTGGGTGCACTTTGACCTCTGCAACGAACTGTTCGGCGCAAGTGCTGCCTCGAGATTACTTGGAGACTGGGAGGGTCGGAAACCAGATTACGTCGTAGACGCCATTGACAACATCGACAGCAAAGTCGCTCTGCTCGAATATTGCTACAAGAATCAACTCCCCGTCATCTCCTCAATGGGGGCAGGGTGCAAGTCCGACCCAACACGTATCTTCATCGGCGACATATCGGCTAGTACCGAAGACCCTCTTTCTCGCGCCACACGCACGCGTCTCCGTAAGGTCGGCGTAGCGTCTGGCATCCCAGTTGTCTTCTCGACCGAGAAACCCGGCCCAGGAAAAGCCCAGCTGCTCCCGTTACCGGAAGAAGAGTACGCCAAAGGATCAGTCGGCGAGCTTGGTGTGCTACCTGATTTCAGAGTCAGGATATTGCCAGTCTTGGGTACCATGCCTGCGGTGTTTGGATATGCGGTTGCAAACCATGTTATCCTGCAGGTTGCGGGGTACCCGAACGAGTACGTCCCTGCGAAGGGGAGGGAGAAGATGTACGACAGCATCCTCGCCGCGCTGCAAGGGTCGGAGGAGAAGCTGGTCAGGGCTACCGTGCCTGGGGAGGACGCGAGGGGCTTGAAGACGGGTATCACTGTTGCGGATGTGGGATACGTGGTCGAAGAAGTGTACAGGGGCAAGAGTGCCATCAGCGGCATCTCTACGAGACTCACACTGGTCAGGTGGCGGAAGCCGGAGGGCAGCATGGTCGAACTGGGCGTAGAGGGGCAAAAGAGCAGCAAGGTGAAGGCGAGGGAGCTGGTGTGTATGACCAAGGAAGAAGGGGCCAGGCATGAGAGAGAGGTGGTCAACGGGATGAAGAGCCCGGAGGAGATGTATGATAGGGAGACGGTGGCGTACGTCGAAGCGAGGATCAGGGAGGAGATTGGATACGAGAAATACAGATGAGTATTGGAATTCTTTCTGGATCGTCTGGTCTTCGGTTGATCGCCGTCGCTGCATCTGCGCATTGCCCTCTTTTCTTCTTCTTCTTTTCTTCTTCTTC